CACAGGCACACACACGTGGACGCTCCATGGACGTACATGCACACCTTCCATGTATCTATGGAGCTTCGTGCATGAAGCGAAATACGCGCGTTCGTCAGGGAGGGTTTGGATGTACACGATAAATACGAAATCCCTTCAGCCGATTACGTCCTACTGAGCTTTGCCTGGGTCGCGACCCTCTGTAGCGTTGCTTGGAGAAAAAGAGTTCCGTGTCCATCGCATCGCTTGGCGATTCTTGTGCCGTCGATTTGTCGATGATCCGTGTTATCGCCGCGACTCTCGAATCATCGATGCTCAACCCCTACAAACAAGTTTAAAGATCAGATTTCGGAAGCGAAATGCTTATTCGGGTCGTTCAACTCTAAAACGCGTAAGATGGATACTTTGAAAAAGTTGCATTGCCTTTCTTCTCTCTGTGGCATATATTTACGTCTTTTTTCAAATATATACAAAAGATTTTAATCTAATTTTCTGAAACATATGTAAGATTTTGATTTTATTATAATCATTTTTGAAACTTCTGTATTTTGCAAAAGTCAGTCATAATATTGAAATGATCGATAGAATTTGCCTTTACAGAGCGATCTATTTATACGTCATAGAGTATGTCAGTTAAAAATTTTTCCAAATGACTCTCTCTGCAAAAGTTTAATCTGGCAATGATCGTGACATTTTGCAATATCTTACACAGACATTCCACGCACACACGTGTTATCCGGTGAAAATTAATCGACTTTTTATTCAATTTTTAAATTTCAATTTTTTGACGTCAGCCATACCTTTCTGACCGATACCTTTCTAATTGAATCTGTTCAATTTCTTTAACGTCAACTGCATTCTTATATTGTGCCATTTTCGCTTTCATAATATCAATGAATATCGGAAAAAATTGTCGTGATTTCGGCGGTTTGATATCAAGCATGTAGTATTTTGTTTCTTATTAAAGTACGTGAAGAGCCACAATGTTAATTAGATCAAGAAACGGTCAAAACAACGGAAGAAACAACGAGACTGGAGAAAAAAATGTTACTTCTGCTGTGCGAGCAATAACAAAAAAATGCGAAATTAAATCCTACTACCGTACGTGCCGCTGTAAGCCCGGGCGCGACACATGTAACGTCGGCTAAAGAATTAATATCAAAAACACCGTTCTCCGTCTAAACGCGAAAGAATGCATGTAGTTGTAAGAAAATTAAAAACGACATGAAAGTGTGTGCGACGCTACTTTTTGTCCTTCTTGTTTCCGTGCTACGAAATTAAGCAAGATGTTCCGACAAATTAATTCTGGCTCCTAAATGAAATTAAATTCGGAATTTTTTTATAAGACTCTTTGAAAAAACGGAGCTTGTTTATTAGCGTATAAAATATAATGTGATCTAGGCATTTTTAACAATTTTAAACAATTTTTGACGGTTAACAGATGAAAAAATATATAACTGTGCAATTGTGTGTGCAATTTTTCAGAGCATTTATATAGGCACACAAATGTATTTAGACAAAAAGACAGGAATGTAAAGTTTGACTTTAATGTAACGCGGTATAAATTATAACTTAAATTACATTTAATTATAAATAAAATTATGAAAATATATATTTTTCATTATATTTTAATGCAGCTTGTCCAAACACTTTTTAAAAAATAAAATCGTGTAAGAGATCAGTTTTTAAAACAATACACTTTTTATTTATGCAACTTTTTCAGTATTTTTTTCTAATCTGTTATGAACGGAAGATTGTCTCAAAATATTTTCGCCCAAAAATGCAACTGTAATATATTTCTTATCGATACCGTCAAATTATTCCGGTAAAAAAAAATATCTCCTATAATTTAATTACGCTTAATTTATTCAACAAACAGCTAATTCCTTGCTAAGTTTCGTTATATAATAACTTTATCGTTTACTCCCTATATTTATATATTAATGAGAAAAAGATTTTTTATTACTTTGGTTTTTTTAAATAATAAAGACCTTATATATATATATATATATATATATATATATATATATATATATATATTACCCGGCGTTTATGCGGCGCTTATCGATATGTCGTAAGTAAAGTTAATAACTTTCGTTATCACGTGCAAAAACTGTTATTACCCGCGTATTGCGTAGAGGCCTACTTACGATGCGTAATACTTTTGTACGAGCTCGCAGTGACCTTCGCACTGACTTTAGCATGCAAATCAAAAGAAACTGCGGGGCATCCCTGTTATCACCTGCTAACATCTCGTTAACTCGGTTCCACGCAACTATCGTCCCACGCAAATGTCAGTGGACGATAGTATAGTGACTTTGATGATTGCTGATGCAGAAAGACGTGCCGTTGGTGGCTAGATTTCAAAGGATCGTCTTTCGTATAATGCGACTCGCTCGTTAAACCGGCTGTACCGGCGACTTTTTCGATTCCGAAACATTCCGAACATATATCAAGAAGAAAAATTACATTATATGCCAATTTTAGGCGCATCATGCTCATCATGAGATCAGGCGGACGCAGAAAAAGTAGTAAATATAATGTTTTTTATTGGCTTCCAATAAAATACGCCGCGCGTGATGCGCATATGACGTGTTTAATATTAAAATTAGCACTTTTAAAAGCGTCTGCGACAAAAATAGAATAGCCAAAATTATCTCGGAACATGTGAACTTGTGGTCGACCTCTCCAAGAATTTTATCATAAATAATGTCACTTTCGATAGAGTATTTTCTTCTTCTTATAGGAATCGTAAATCGTATGCGGAGCGTTTTACGAATCGTCCGTCTGGGGACGAGTGTGTCCTCATCCCATGTACGATCGAAGATTTATTATTAAAATCACAATGCGTTCTCGAAAAATTTGATATTTTCCATGCTCATTAATTTACGCGGCGAAAGGAAAAAGAGATCGGCCATTGTTAACTGCCGCTTATACCGTGGAAAAGTTCGCTCGCGCAAAAAGCTCGCAAAAAACCGTTCCTATTCTTGCGAAGAAAATATAGGATTACACTTCATTATCTTGCTAAAGTGTAAAATGTACCGTCGGCGTCGCCGTAAGCCGATCGTTATACTTCAAGTATACGTAAATATATTCCTGTAAATATATCCTTGTCGATATAAAACTGCGTCCACCAGTTCGCGCGCGCGAGACTATAAAATTATAATTTTATAGGTTTACGCAAATTTAACAAATTTAAAGATCGCTCTAAAGTAATGATATAATTTAGAAGAGACTTCGTGTATAAAATCAAGAAATAAAATTCTATACATTCTTTACAGTTCGGCTATTTTTGCAAAGTTGTCTTTGTGCATAAAAATCGAAATCCGAGTTAAGTAACGCCTCGTGCTCAAATTATAACGCTGATAATGGTGATTAATTTCGGTACTTACGTCTAACACGCGAGACGATACTAGACATGAAATAACAGGTTACTAAAGGTTAACGGCACCTTAGACAAACTCGCAAATTCTGCACCGCACGCACATTTTCTCCTACACGTTCAAACAAAGTTGCATCAAATTGCAACTTGGACCGCTACGCGGATTGAAGATATAAATTTACCGATATGACGTAATGTTTGAACATTTGCTAGAGATAAAAAAAATAGGATACTATTTTTATCTGCAAATCTATTTGCCCTACGCTAGCCCGGGTTAAACTTGCGTATATTCATTTGTCTTTCTCGGCCACTATATTTCGTCTCTTTGTGGTTTTATCTATTTTTTTCTCTTACACTGTCGCATCCTCGTCGTCGTCGTCTCCACAATAATCTTGCGCAAAATATCAGCTGGCTGCTGAGGGGAGAGACGCGAGAAGATTTCTTTAAAATTCAGCATTTCCATATGATGACACATCGGAAATTTTTGCAATATCTTAAATCGTGCGTCTTCCGTTAGTGAGCTATCTCTCCTCTTCTTTCACGCGTTGGGAACGGGTCCTTCCTCTCCCTTGGTCCTCCGCGTTCCCTTTATCTTTCTCTTTTTGTTCGGGTTGTATCTCGCAATAATGTTCAATAAGCCGTAGGGGCCCCAATCTTGGTCCACTCAGGGAAGTCCCCCGTCGCAAGATGCTTGTATATATGAAGAATTTATCATGAATCATCGTGCAACGACACTACAGTCCGACGTCAGAGTTGCCGGGTCTGAAGCAACATTGAGTATTCCACCTGCATAAGAAGGAGTACGTATTCATTAGACTGATCGTTTCTGTCTGGCTTCCTGACGCCCCAAGAAAGACAGTTCTGCTCGCGGCAAATGTCTTCTTAGAAGTTGCGGCGAATTCAATCGCTTATGAAAAGAAATCGAATCGATTATCGCGAAGAGGCATTCGAAGAGATTCGTGATTGACTTCCTTGAAATTTGTGATCAGAAAACTGTTTTCTTTTTCGCATACGATATATACATGTATTTATTTTATATAACAAATGCGTGAAAGAGATAACAAAATAAAATTAGAAAAAAATTGCAAAATCAGACATATATACATATGAAAAATATTACAAATATTTTTTTCTATGCACTTTCATAAGTCACTATAGATCTTTTTTAGAAAATAATTTCTTTTTAAACTTTGTTGCCAAATGTTTAATTTCAGAAATTGCACACACATAGATTAATATTTCAAAACTTGAAATATAAACAGAAATAAGTAAACATTTATCTTGTACTAAATTTCGAGGGATTAAAGGATTAGATATTTTTTCAGACTTGGATGAATGATAGGAAGATTATTTACGAGAAGTACAAGGAAAAAAATACAAAATTAAATAAATATTGTTTTATTTTAATACTGTTTCTTCGTTTATCGATCTATAGAATTAAAAAAGTATGCGTTTAAGTTTATAAATGCAGGCTTGTATTAACAGTTCCATTGTAGTATTTTAAATTAATACTGTTCATATGTCTTATCAATATATATATATATATATATATATATATATATATATATATATAATTTGTGTATATATATATATATATATATACATATATATAATGTATACATATAAAAAGGTTGCATAATATTATATAACTGTAAGATTGCGTAAAAAGATTGCGTCAAAAGATTTATAAAATTTCACTTATTTTGATCAATATATATTATATGAAAATATCGGTCGTATTATCTTATTATTACGTAAATCAATTATGCTGAGTATGTAAATTCCAATTGTATATATTGTGTTGCTATCTCGTTACGTCTCCTCCTTACTTCCGGCACGAAATAGATCACATTACTTTCGATAAATCGCGAAGAAATCTTCGTATAATGCACGCATTCGCGAAAAATAAATACAAATACAGATAAATAAATAAATAAATAAATAAATAGATAAATAAATAAATATAGATGCTGGTGAGAATAAATAGATGATATTATGTATACGATTATGTATACGATTTATGCAATAAATAGATAATGTGCGTCAATCACAATGGGCATTTGTGATTCACTCCGCAATCATTATCCATCTAAATAGAGAACGTGATGAATGCGCGATGATAATTGCATTCGGATACGTGATATTGTACACGTGCGACCGGATTTAATACTACCTGAGCGATTATGTTGTGAATCGAATACGTGTTTTATCACATTGTTTAGCAACAACAACCGCGAGAGTCGAGGATCTATAAATATCAAATGCATGCGGTAGCGATTTCTTATTTCTATCTTAGATGAGACTGCACGACGTTACGCCATACAACACTTCTCCCTATCCATTCGAACGTCAAACATTGAATAAATCTGCTGGATTCCCGGTATTCGCACGTCATTAGAAGCAATGATAGCAAAATTCAAACGAGTTCCTATGCGAAAAGAGAGAAAAAAGATAGCCGTTCATTTACGAATTATGACGACAACAACGGAATGTTCCTCTTATTCGAGAAAATGGAACGCATTCTATTTGATTCAGCGAGATCGGAGATCAAGGAACTGCGTTATCACATCATCACCATAGCAAGTCGTCATTTTCCCTCGCTCGTCCTCGATATCAATCGTAGATGGGTAAATGTGATTGGCTTAGCAGATCGTTATTGAGATCCTGGAGAGCGCACACGCAACCCACGTAGATCTTCATCTTCTCTCTGTCTTCACCGTTGTCGTACGATACTTCGATGTACCTGTACGTCTGTATGCAACAATAGTTGCCAGTATCCTGGCAGCTGCTACCGGCGTAGTTGCACCTGACGTGCTCGAGATCTTTCGGCACCCTGGTCCGGTTGTAAGGTATCGGTATCGACTTCACGGTGTAGTTGCAGATTGAGCTGTTTTGCACCTCCTTGACCTCCAGCTCGAAGGGCGCGCGCAGGCCGCTGATGGTACTGGTGTACAGCTCGAGCTGTTGGCGCCGCCGCTTGCTTATCTCCAACTCCTGTTTGTCCTGGTCGCTGAACTTCTGATAACTTACCGTGCCGCTGTGTTTATTGTGTTGACGCTTCCTGCGAACGTTAAATCTCGTGGTCAAGGCATCTTCGATGACGTCCTCTTGTTTGCGCGCTTCATTCTTTCGTAAGGACTCGGCATAATTTCTTAGAAATATAAAAGTGATTATAAGATAGCAATCAAATTAAAGAGAGAAAAAAAGGCAGACAAATCATAGCGCTAGATTAATGATAGCTACAATTAACATAAACAAAAGTGAAAGAATTTTTAATATATAATAAGTCAACACATGTTCATATAAAAATAATCAGTTGACGCTTAATTAAAACGACAGACGTACGTTTCGATCTCATTATCAATGTCTAATAAAGGACAAATTCAAAATTAACGAAAAATTATAAAAACAAAACATAGATCAAAGTCGCAATAAAGTCGATATAAACTACCATTAACCTAGTGCTGTGGTTTGTTTGCCTTTTTTTCTATATAATTTCTTAAATCATACATGTGTTTTCGATGAGGTAGTGGTGTTCGTTCCTCGTATTCCACGGGATCGAGTATTCGGGATAATTCGCGCTTTTCCATCGGTCTCCTGTAGAGATCCTGCTGATACTCCAGGTCATCCTCGAAACGTCTCGACAAATCACGCGGTATCGATTCTTCGAAATCCAAATAATAATCTGGATGAGAATGATGATTGTGTCGCCGCCTCAGATTCCGGCCTTGGACAATTGACATGCTGACAATACAGGCAAAAAGAACAGGCAGGCACAATCCGATACAGCCGAATACTGCCATTATGTCGATATATGATTCGCCCGAAAATAGATCCTTGCAGTCGGCAATCTTTAAGACTGATGCAATCGCTTTAACTCCTCCTCCCTTAACAGCGTCTCTAGTTCAGGCACTTTCGAATGGTCCGTTTCTCGTTTCTTCGGCTTCGTCTCGTGGTTTGCTTAAAACTGAGTATTCTCTGATCCCCGAAGGATTTTTTATCCTGCCCGCGAATGCGCACGTGGTTAGTGTTGCCCCACTTTAACGGGGGGGGTTTGCGCGTGCCGGTACACGCGAAGCGTTGTGACTAATCGCCCCCTCTCCTTTTCACGTCTTCTTGTCCGCAGCCCCTCAGGACCGGGGCCCCGGAGAGGAGTATCTTCATTTGCGCAAAGTGGCGGCAGCGGCGGCGGTTTCTTCTTCTTCATCGAGAATACGCGCTTTCCTTCTTCTTGACGTCATTTCACTTCCTTTTGGCGGATCACAGCCACCACCACTGGTTCCCTTAACATGACTCGTTATTCACCTCCGATGTCGACGTCATCAGATCGGCGTCTACTTGTAGCGGAAAGATGGGAGACTGGTTGTCTCGTGCTTCGCGGAATCTCATCATCGGGCGGATGCCCGTCAATTCTTCATCTTTGCGATGATGAGGATGACGATGGTGACGTCATATGTGCCACAGGCCCCGGAGGAAGAAGAGGTTTTTGCTTCAAAAGTAACGCAACGCCTTTCCCTTCTGACGTTTACGCGCGACACAATTTTCCTGCATTGACGTTCGCACCTAAAATCATGTAATTATTCTTCGATAGGAAAGGACTCCTAGTTAATCAGTCGACCGTGATTCTCCGAAACTTGGTACATTTCGGCGGATTATACGGTAAGATACGTTTGTGGAAAGTCAAGTATCTGAGGAAACCGATTGCCGATCATGCCGCGAATGTTTCGCATCCAGATAGAATTTCGAGCGTCAATAAAAGTTCCGAACCATCGGACCGGCATTTTAAATATCGGAAAGTACGCATCCATCATCATCGTTACTAAAAATATAAAGTTGCCATCTCCATTCGCGAAAGTATTTAAAATGGAAAATATTACGCAAACATGTTTGCCCCTTACCTTCACTTTCCTACTCTTAATTAATATTGCCGAGCCTCCTGCTTGTATGCCACGTGAACTAGTTGAGGTAGAATCAAGCGCTCACGGGGTTTCCCGTGCTTATTTTTTTTTTTTTCTTTTTAGAAGGTCGGAGAATATATGTAAGTATTTCTGGAAACGCTTTCCTTATTCTAACTTCTATTATCTAATATCTATTTTTTTCGTAAAGTATGTGTATATATCTGTGCACGTGTTGATATATTAGATACAGAAAAATTTTTTAAACTCCAAGTATACATACTGTAGAAGATTAAAATTAGATGTGTTTAGGACATTAACTTTAATAGTATTTTAAACATCGGAAAGTACGCATCCATCATCATCGTTACTAAAAATATAAAAAATTGCCATCGCCATTTGCAAAAGTATTTGAAATGGAAAATATTATGCAAATATGTTTGCCCCTTACCTTTATTTTCCTACTTTTAATTAATATTGCCTCCTGCCGAACCTCCTGCTTGTATGTTACGTGAACTAGTTGAGGTAGAATCAGGCGCTCACGGGGTTTCCCGTGCCTATTTTTTTTCTTTCTTTCTTTTTTAGGAGGTCGGAGAACATATGTAAGTATTTTTGGAAACGCTTTCCTTATTCTAACTTCTATTATCTAATATCTATTTTTTTCGTAAAGTATGTATATATATCTGTGCACGCGTTGATATATTAGATACAGAAACATTTTTTAAACTCCAAGTATACATACTGTAAAAGATTAAAATTGTGTATATATCTGTGCACGTATTGATATATTAGATACAGAAAAATTTTTTGAACTCCAAGTATACTCCAAGTATATTGTAGAAGATTAAAATTATAGATTAGATGTGTTTAGGACATTAACATTAAGATTAGACCACATACGTGAGAGATTTAAAATAAATTTCCTGACCTTTTTAGAAATGTCCTGCAAACTATCGAATTTATATTTATTTTTTTTTGCTCATTTATTAGTTTTTTATATTATTTGTTTTTTTACCTTTATTTCTTTTCACCTAATTCATTTTATATTTTTTTTAAATTTAATGTTTTGTTATTTTATTAAATTTTTTACGAAAAACCCTCTTGGCCATTTATAAAAAAAAAAAAATAAATAAATAAATAAACACTTCAGCCAAAAAAATTAAAAGAATGTTAAAATTATTAAATCAAGAGGCACTAAATTTTTTTATACTTTGTATTCGGCATTTAATTACAACGCCAGATGATACCGGTATGGAAATACAAAAAGAGCAAGAAAAGTATATGTATATAAAGCTGATTCTCGATACTTTGCAAATCAGAAATTTAATTTCTCGATATAAATATAAGCTTCTTCTAAATTTATGCTCACTTTTTGCAACATTGAAATAAATAGAATAAATATAAAATTTTGCCCTGCAACATGTTTATATTATGCTAATGTTGTTGTTGTTTCTGTTTAATCATATCTCCAAATTCTTGTGCATGAATTCTTCATTCGCGCGACGATTGCAAAAAATTGCTATATTCGTCGACGATATTGCAAAAAATTACACAGAAGAGTTCAACTATGGACCGGTTTCCGAAACGATTGAAAAAGATTTATTTCCTATATATTATTGAACGAATAAGACATGTATATAGGGTAATTCGGCTTTCGATTATACGACGTTCTCTTAATTTTAATGCCATCGATTTAATTTGCTTCATTAATTCCGCATTATGATGTAATTGTAAACACTATTTTTAAGTATTCCGGATGTGTATTCCATTTTGGGATGTGGAATATATACATATATATTTTTTACATACAATATATACATACAATATATTTTTTATAAATTATTTTATTCCGAAAACGTCTTATATTTAAGAAGAGTTTTCAAGAAGATAAAATATATATAAAATCTCTCTCTACGTTAAAACATTTCTTACTATAGTCTATACTTTTCATTTACATGAATAGGTCTGCTGGGAGATCGCTTCTCGATGGAAAACTTGCGTGAGTGCCGAATTTAAGGACGGATTGTGTAGCAACTACGCAAGCTCTTCTAATGCATTCGTCCATTGCTAAGTGCGAATGGTAAGCCTTGAAATATGCGAGCGCGCCCAAAAATGCATCCCCAGCACCCTATCGCATACAATTACACTTAGTTGGCTGGACGCAATTTCACCTTAAATACGCGTAAACTATTTAAGTGAATCACTAAAATGAATCAGCTTATAAATTCATTCCGGAAATGGACCGGTTATTAGCTGAAAAAGTTGCAAACGGAAGTATATCGTTACACGCTTTCACCTTTCAACTGTATGATCTCATAACATTAAAAGCAATCTTACTATGATTTGTATAAACAGGAAGTACAGATTGAATCAATAGAAAGATACGCGAGATGCGTTACTTGTAGCAAGTGTCATTCCCAGAACCATTGTATGTGATCTTAAGCAAATTATTTCATTTAAAAATCATTTCTTAAAGAAAATATGAAATTTCTTTTAAATTTAATTGATTCTAGATTCGTTATAAAATCTCCGCGACTATTTTTGCGACACCGTATATACGCGATACGTACGGTAGTATCTACCGGGTGGACCTTGGTGACAGGAATCCGCGTAACGTTTCTGTTCGCTTTCGATGCATACACAGCCCCTAGCGGTCCGAGAGTAAGGATAATCGCATTGCATCCCATAGCCAAGAGCTTATCCGCGACTTGTTGTATATTTGACAAATTTACGGGTTGAATGCCTGTCGTAACTTCTGCCTGTAAAAGCATAATGATACTCCCTTTTTACGCATTAAACATATTTAATTAATCCTTGCGCGGCATGCGTTGTTAAGAGATCATCTTCCGATCGACATTAATATCAATTGTTCGTCCTCAACGTACCTCAGTCTCATTGACGCAGAAAAGATCGCTCAGTTTCAGGATTTCTGGATCAAAATTTTTCAGCGCGGGTGCTCCATTGATAATCGAAAATCCTATCACGTTACATGTTAAAACATTTATCTGTAACTTAGAGTGGCGATATCGCAAGTTGAAACGATATATACTTTTTTGTTTGCGAAATTGCTTGCGTTTGAAAGCGATAATTTTACATACATGAAATTTAATATTATAATTACGTAATTGTATGATATATACAATGTTGCACAAGCTCGTTTTTTTAGAACTATGATAGTTTGGTTTAGAGATATATTATCATTTATAACGAAAGAATAAGAAAAGAAAAAACAAACCGTGACCCCGATGCAACTTTAATGCATGCAGTGTAGTTTCCAGTGGAATCTCGAATTGGCATAATAAAACGCTAGCGCTCTTAATCACATCAACAGCAGAATCCACGTGTTCTGGAGTTAAAGATTCATTTGCGCCTAACACGATAACGATACTGTTCTCCCCTGTGAACATTATTCGAATGGCACCGAGATTATTTCGGCAATGAAAATGATTATTTTAATGAAAAATTAATTAATGCTACCACTCGTTTAGATTCTCTGAGATTAATCTCGAAATGATTAAAGACAAATAATTTTAATTTTAAAACATTTTAAAAAAACCTACACATTTTATACTACAACATTTTAACAATGTAGCGATATTTTAAGATATACGATAAAAACGTACCGTCTTCAGTAACAGTAATATGAGCAATACCACTATGTTTATCTTTTTGTATTTTGACATGAGAAGTATCCACATTTTCCTTTTTTAAAATTTCTAAGTATTCCTGCGCAAAACTCTCAGAACCCAACTGTGATAAAAGATAAAAAACCATATAGAATAAATGTATAACATCACATACCATGTATAATATCATATTCTGTAAAATATGTAACATTGTGAAAAGAATTATGACTTCAATTGAAGAAACTATATTATTTGATATTACTGAGAATAGAAATAAATATGATATTAAATTAAATATCTAAAATTTTAAAAGATTACATTAGACACTAAAGTAATAAATTATAGATAATTTTGTCTAAAAAATCAATGCATTTATAAATGAAAGTACTGAAGCAATAAGTGCTGTAGATCCACCAAGTTTAGCAGCTGTTATACATTGATTGCCACCTTTACCGCCATATTTCCTTTCAAATTTAGTTCCAACTATTGTTTCACCAGGTTTAGGCAACCGTGGAGAGAAACTAAAAAATAATAATAAATGTTCAAAAAGGAAGATGATGTAATATCTATAATCATATATATAATTACTTATAAATGACTAACAGCACTTATTTTTATAATTACTAGTTATAGTTGCATTATAATTCATTATAATCATAAATATTATTTTACATGATATATTTATTATATATTGAATATTATCATATATTATATATTATAGCATATATTTAAATATCATATATATATATATATATATATATATATATATATATATATATACAGGATGTCCCAAAAGTTCCGGACCGGTCGAATATTTTAAACTATGCACTTTAGAAAGAAATGTTTCAGACAAAAGTTGTATGGCTTGAAGGGGGCCATCAGATAGTGGCAATGATTTGACCTTGGAGAGTCATTTGAAGGTGACGTAAAGCTCACCTTCAATTTGTTAAATGAATTAGTGATTAATATAAAGTGTGATATCTTAGGATTTTTTTTTATAATTATAAATTATATAAAAAAATTTTAATATATCATGTATATATTAAAATACAATGTTAACTACAATGTGAACTACAATGTTAACTACAAAAAAATCCTAAGATATCATGTGTTAAAATACAATGTTAACTACAATCAAATTATAATGCAATTGTAAGAAATAATTGTAGCTATGCTGTCAATCACCTGTAATGTCAATCTTCGTTAAGACATCTTTACTCACCAAGTAAAATCAATCATACAAGAACCAACAATAACTATTTTTGGCGTCATATCACACGATTATTTTAGTTTCTTTTTATGTAATATACTATAATGAGAATTCCTGAACTGTATTTTAGAACAAATATTCTTCAACGAAGTACAATCTTCAATAAAATATTTCAACAGCAATTACAAGATAACTAATTGTATGCAAAACCACACGACTAGAGTTTATCACAATTCATCTTTATCAGAATCGTTATCAGTTAAAATTTTTTTTTCTATATCTATACTGTATATAACCTAACATATATAAATGCGTAAACACAAACGTAAGCATTTTAATGATGACGCAAATTGAGAGGACGAAACAAGAAGAATGCTACAAACACGTGAATTAATTTGAACCGCCGCTATTATAGCGAAAAAAATGCATTATTTACTGCAACGTTTACCTTGACGGGAACAGGTTATTTTTTACGTTTATTATATTAAGATGAAGTTATATACTAAAAGAGGAGAGCAGAGAAGGAGAAAACACTTAGAATTTATCAAGATTTCATATCTTGTTGCAAGATAAAAATTGACAACTACTATAAATTTTGCAAATGATCAAACACTTGCATGTATACCATGTAAATATTTTAAATGTGTGTACGATATGTCATAGATACGTCATGGGAGCATAGATGCGAAAGTGTAATGTAATTGTGGAAGAGTCGCGGAAAGTATCTAAAGTCCGTGTCGCAATTACATATTATGTAAAGTCCAAAATTACATGTCTTTTTGAAACATCCCGTACAATTATTTATATATTATAGGAATTATAAGCAATCTAATCTAAACGCTTTTGCGGTTACGTAGTTATAGGCTGGTATTCATAGTCCGATCTTATATTTGAGATCGTCTTAAGTTCGAGCTTGAAATGCTACGCTGTTATTTGATTGGTTGAATGAGGTCTTAAGTCAACCTCCAAGCAGACTTAAGACGATCTTAAATATAAAATCGGACTATGAATACCGGCCATAGTTTGACAATTCGAGTGTAACTCAATGTACTGTGGTCCGATTTAAATTTCCCGCTCTCGTGACGTATGAGTTTGTGAAACATCGTCCCATTGGTTGTTGCGTTTTCTAACGCAGCTTACGATCTCTTGACATATATTTACATAACAACATAACGAAAAGTTTTCGAAATAAGCAATTAAGGACGGCACGTGAACCTGATTTTCTTCACATGACAAACTATCATTTCAACCACATATTCCCTTTTATAGGATTCATTTAAATCGAGATTTTTAATTTCGATTATGGACCGCTTTCAAATTGACACGAGTACAGATAATTTCGCAGATAAACACCAATATAAATTAGTATTATTTTTTAGACAAGTATCAAATGTTAGTGAATCATTCTCGAGTGCCAGAGAAAGATAAGGATTTCCACGAAATTCCTCGGGAATCGACCATCACAACGTCGTCAAAGTATAACTATGGGCAATTTTCTGTTTAAAGGTTCGTGTTTTGAGAAAAGCGCGCGAGGCTCTATTTCAATCACTTACATAAAAGAATCGAGAGAGTTATTCTAGCAAATTAAAATATGATTTCATTTGATGATACGAATCTTTTTTTAACTTACCTCAAAATGAGCCAAAGAACACCCAGGTTAATAAAAACAAACGGAAAATGGGAAAAAACTCGCGCACTTATAACGTATATCTTTTATATGAATGTGCAATAATGCCAACTCTTCCGCTCCACCCACCTCTGCCAATCCTTTCCTAGAGTGCGTTCGGATATCTATCCGTGGAGTAAAGTGGCGTTTGATGGACCAATAATGGAGCAGAGATTTCCTTATCAGATAGAATTTTCGAACGCACTCCTACTATGGAGGACTCGATGTAGAGCGGAGAGAATTCATATCTTTCTCTCGTTATCCTATATTTACGATTTTTACGAATTATCACACAATTATTCGGACTTGTTCCAGGCCGTCCAAAAAAAAAGCAAGAGGAAATGACGAGCCCAGTCGTAATTTCGGCCACAGCTAAACACACAGCAACGGTAGGTATCAGCTTAAATAATGGCTTTTTTTTTGGTTATACAGTGGTAGTTCTAATTGATCATAAGTGAATTATTCCCGTACGATGCGCATATAATACTCCGGTATAATACTATGGTTGTGTTTTTTTCCTGCGTAGGATCTCGTTGACCAAATGCTATTTTGATGTTCCTCGATGATTATTTTTTTCTTCTCTTATCTGTAAAATATGATAATTCATGAGTAATCTATTATCTTGACCAGTCTATTTCTAATTTTTTTACAATATCATTTTTTGACTTGTTTTAAAGAGAGAATGTTCAAAATCTAGAAAATTATAGTATATATCTTCAAAAACGTAATATTTCTCTGAATAAAAACTTATACATTAGCTAGTTCTGTACTAAGAAATATCTATATGTTTTAGTTAATATTTTTCCATGGATTGGGTGATACAGGGTAAGTTTTCAGTAAATATGTTATAATAATATAATAATGTGTAATTTTGTTAACATTTAATATTTAACATTTATTATTTTTAGACATGGCTGGGCTAGTTCAATGGGTGCTGTACGATCCCCTCATATCAAAGTTATTTGTCCTACTGCGTATGTGTAACTGCTCTTTTAAGCTATTTAATTAGCACAAGCTATAAATTAATATAATCATTATAATAGTATTTTAATAAAATTATTTTAATTTTCAAATCATTTTAATTTCAGGCCTACAATGCCAGTGACACTTAATACAGGGTTTAGAATGCCTTCCTGGTAACTTTATGATTAGCAGCTTATGTTATGAATAATATATTTTTCAGAAAAACAACAAATTGTTATAATTACCATATTTTTACTGAAGTATATGCATTTAGGTTTGATTTACGATCTCTGGACTCCAGTGGCCCAGAGGATGAAGAAGGTATACGTAAAGCTGCTGAAACAGTTCACTCGTTAATAGCGGAAGAAGTTGCCGCTGGGATACCCACTACACGTATCGTTCTTGGAGGATTTAGTCAAGGTGGAGCACTAGCCATGTACAGTGCCCTTACATTCCCAGAGCCTTTAGCTGGTATCGTAGCTTTGTCTGCATGGCTTCCTTTACATCAAAAATTTCCGGCGGTAAATATATATAAGTTGTTGCATTATATACATAATATATCTATACACATAATATGTAATATATATATACACATAATATTAAATAGAATTGTACTATTGAATTTTTTTCAGGAAGCAATAGGCAATAAAAACACTCCATTATTACAATGTCACGGCGACTGCGATCCAATAGTGCCATATAGATGGGGTCAAATGACAGCATCTCTTCTGAAACAATTCATGACACAGACAGAATTTAAAACTTATAGAGGAATGATGCATACCTCTTCCGAGGAGGTAAGAAAATTTCAATCAGGAAAAATAGTTATGAAGTGAATTTCCATTGTAATTTATTTTCTTTTCATAATTTTTATTGTTTTTACAGGAAATGCGCGATATAAAAAAATTCATCGAGAAGGTATTGAAACCGTAATAAATCGAAACATGCATCGATATTTTAATGGCTACCTTCAGCATCTAATTGTATATTAAAATGAAATTATTCCAATTTTGCAATTATTTAAATTTACATAAATTGCATAAATTTTAAAGAAATTAAGTAGAAAAGGATTAAAAATCTTCCGATATGAAAAAGATGCATAGAAAAAAAAAATATCCTTTCTAGAGGAATATACTTATTTACGATCTCTATAATTTATATCTAAATATTTAAACTTCAATAGTATCTAGTGTACCAAAGCATTCATGTAGCAATATTACAAATTAATCCATGTGGTTCTTAATCCTTTTAGTATGCATCTATAATTTATTAGGCAAAAAATTATTTTAATTTGTTTAATATTTATAACGTCTGAATATATATATATATATATATATATATATATATATATATACATATACATATGTATGTATTAATATAAATACAAATTTATATTTATTTATAAGATCCACATTTTGATGTGGACATTATTGAAAGATAATAATACTAAAGTGGTTAATGTTTTATTCATTCTTAGAATTTATTCTGCGACAATAGGAATAAATTTACACGTAATTTTGTGTTAGATTTAAGATAACATTAAGTTAGAATAGAAAGGCAAAGAGCTTTCTGCATCAGCTCTTTTGTCGACGAAACTTCCATCTTTTCGCGCCTATATTATGTTCAAATGAATCTTGTTTAAATACAAACAAAACACGTCCAAGAAGCACTTAAATAATTCGTATTTGAGGCAGCTGTGAACTTTTGCATTTAAATTTCTATTTCGCGTGCGATTTAAAGGTAAAATGTTGCTATTGAATAATTTTTGTAGTTCGTATTATGTAGAAGATAGTGACATAAACGTGTAGTCTGTGATTACACATTATATTGTCAAAATCTACTAATTACATTTATACTCAACATATATAGATCAGGATTTCCTAAATTATAGGGCGAATTAACATAAATTCTTTCAAAAAAAAAAAAGGGTACAAATTATGAAATAATTGAGTAATATTTACAAAAATTTGCAGAAATAAATTCTTTCAATATGTTTTTTTTTTTTATCACAATGAAGTAATTATCAAAAGTTTTTCAAAAAATAGACCGATTTTAAACTAATTTATGTCTAGGAAATCTTGTGATATATATTCTTAGTAAATATGATATTAATAGATTACACAGAATTATACGCTAATGTATATAAAATTATATAATACTTTCGGCTGATTTTATTATTGGTACTAACACACACTATCCAGTAGATAAATAATAAATAAATAAAGAACAATAAGCTCCGAATATTTTTCACGAGCTTTCTTTAGGAACATACTTTATAGTTAGCGATAAATAGGGCATTAGTTTGTAAGTTGTGTAACGTTTCATCTACATAAATAAAATAATTACAAATTGTAAAAAGTTGTTTCACTGTTAAGAAGATGATAATAAAATCCTTATGACATGTAGATGTAGTTATGTAGACATGTATAGTTTCGTGTAGGACTAGAAAAAAATATCAAGTATTCACATCTGACAAAATCAATGATGTCAGCAACTTTTCAGCCTATTCAAAACAGCCTTTGGATCGACATCTTTCTATAGTGATCAATCTATAGAATATATCAACCGGCATATTATATTTTCTCCTACATTTTTAACAGAAGAAAACTGGAAGTGATTGAATAAAAACAAGAGGTTATAAATTTTTGATAAACTGCAGATTTTTAATATTATTTTAAATAGACTCTTCTGTTAATTATGGCGCATACAGATTCCTTTATCTTGACCACTCTAAATAATGGAATACAAAAAGTGGTACTCAATAAACCTGCCAAAAAGAACGCAATTTCGATCCCGGTAAACGCAAATATATAATAATTCCTAAATTTCATACAATAAAGTACAAATAATGTAAATAATTGCATATTTGTTTCTTATCCACAGATGTATAAGGAATTAACAATACTTTTAAACGAATCTGCCAACAACAATAAAGTATTAATATTTGCATTGACAGCAAATGGAGATTTCTTTAGTAGTGGCAACGACATGAGCAGTATGATGAATGTAACTCCTACTATTGAAGATGCAATTTCGACTGTTAAGTAAGACCAGTATTATATGAAAATTTATATATAATGCATATCTCTATAAATATATAGAAAATAAGTTTATATAAATATATCTTGCAGGAATTTTGTTGATGCAGTAATCATGTATCCGAAACTTTTGATAGCTGTTGTAAATGGACCAGCAATAGGAATAGCATCTACAATATTAGGGCTCTTTGATTTAGTATATGCTTCAGATAAGGTACTTAAAAATAACATTTTACATAATATATCAAAGCAATCTTTTAAATAATAAATATATAACTGCTAAATATATATTATATAAATTGTAGGCATATTTTCATACACCATTTAGTTCTTTGGGTCTTGTCGCTGAAGGATGTTCTACATATACATTCCCTAAATTATTTGGACATTCCAAAGTATGATATATTTCATTGCAAATTATTATGAAGACTCTTTAGTTTTTCTTTTCATTCAAAATAGTAAAAAGAGAAAGAATAATATTTCAATATTATATATGTAAATATATTTAGGCTGGAGATATGTTGTATCTGGGTTATAAAATGAATGCTAAAGAAGCTAAAAAGTATGGATTAGTTAGCAAAATATATAATCATGATTCTCTTGAAGGAGTATGGGATGATTTGAATAAAATATCTAACCTTTCTTCAGAGGTATTATTTTTTACTTATAATATTTCTTGCAAAATGATATATACTGCAAAGTCTTAATAATGAAAAAAAAAACTAATTGAGTACATCTTTATTTCAGTCAATATTGGCAACAAAGCGATTGATGAGCAAATGGAATAGAGAGATTTTATTAAAAGTTAATGCAGAAGAATTAAACGAATTGACAAAACGATTTGAGTCTCCTGATCTAATTGAAAGAGTTGTAAATTTTTTATCACGAAAAAGTAAGTTTTAAAATGAGATAATATAACAATTATAATTATATAATTACAATTATAATTTGTTATTTAATATGATTTAATAATAACAATATAATTTCTTAATTTGTAACTAGTTTGGGTATGTAGAATTTTTAAATATAAATGTTATATAATCACTTGCTTCTGTTAACATCATGTCCTGTAATTTATATACACATATACATATGAACACTAACTTTTAAAACTTTAAAAACACTAACTTATTTCTTAGTTATTTGTAATAATTTAAACAGTTTATTACCTGCATAATGTCAAGTGGAATTGGTTGTTTATAATGTTGCCAATCTCGAAGCTGATTTATAGTTAAATTTTGTCGACATGGTTTATCATCCAATATAGACTGATAATCCTTCATCTCATTATCGTTTGATTCTTCGGAAGACGTTATATGTCCATTATCTTGATCGGTACAAGAACAATTCAATAAATCATGTGTTAATGAAATTGTATCAGTTGCCAGTGTAAATAGATCCTAAAAAAGTAAAAATATTTCGAATAATGTATAATAACTTTTGTATCAATAACAAAGCATTTTTTTCGTTATTCTTTTTTTTCAATAAAAAGTACTTTTAATTCTGCAGTTGATAATTTTAAAGACCCCAAATGATTTAGATCCACCACAGACTCACTCAGACTAGCTTTGCTAATTTGTCTTTGATATATCTTTTCTTCTATTGTACCTGTTGTCAATAATCTAAAAATTTTTTATTAGGATTAGATTACAAATTTTTATTAAATAATATATTGTTATATATATTAATATTACAACATTCATGTTTATACAAACCTATAAATATAAACATTCTTTTTTTGCCCATCTCTCCAAATCCTTGCCATAGCTTGCACATCAGACGCGGGATTCCAATCAGAATCAAATAATACAAGTCTAGATGCTCCAGGTAAATTCAAACCGACACCACCTGCCTTGGCACTTAGCAAAAGAATTTCTGCAAATATTATTTTGATGTAATACCTCAATTATTATTAATAAGAAGATATATTATTTTTGTACTTACTGCTATTATCTGATCGTGTATTAAATTGTTCGATTATTTTCGATCGTGTAGAGCTTGAAATAGTGCCATCCAATCTTAAGAATTTTAATTCCTCTATATTGCATATAGTTTCAAAAAGATCAAGTGTCTGTGTATAATAGGAAACTAATACCAATTTCTCGTCGGTTTTTTTCAAATTTCTCATCAATACTTGTAAAATTGTGATCTTTCCACAATATTTTATAAAATTTTTGTCCTGTTTCAACTGTATTGTACATATTGCCTTTGACAAAGTTTCGCGTAGCGTATTTTCTTTATCATTTATAAACAAGTTTGGATGATTACAAATTTTTTTAAGAGCAATAATAATAGACAAATGAGTATGATTTTTATCTTGTAGACAAGTTTTGTTAAACCAAGCATCAGTAACAAGAGAATACAAATCCATCTGTTCACTGGTTAAAGAGCAAAATAGAACTATTTCGTATTTACATGGCAGATATTTATTTATTGTGTTTTGTGTACGTCTTAAAATGAAAGATTTGGTGCGTTCATGTAATTCCGTAGCTCTTTCAGATCCCAAACTTAGGACATTCTTATCAGCATTAGGGCATTGAGATGCGACAATAGGATCTTCATAATAATTCTTATATTCAAGAGGAGAACCAAGAATACCAGGATTAACAAAATCAACCAATGTATAAAATTCTTTCAAATCATTTTGTATAGGAGTACCAGTTAACATAATTCGTTTTTTACAATTGATCTCGTGTAAAAGCTAAAAAATATGCACACAATAATGCATAAATCTACATGTATTTATACTTGTATATAAATATGTAAATAAAATGATGATTACTTTTGCTGCTTTTATGTTGCTATTTTTCAGCCTGTGACCTTCATCGCACACAAGTAAGTCAAAGGTAATCTCTTTAATTTCTACATGAGATTTAACAAGCATTTCATAACTAATAATCAATACTGAATTTCTTGGATGCTTGATAAAATCCTTAGGTCTATTTTTTCCATCTACAACATATGGAGATATTCTATGACAGCCTAACCATTTCCTGAATTCCTTGTCCCAATTATTGCATAAGCTGCGAGGTGTTATTATCAATACCCGTCTTACAATTGGTTTGCCATATGGACCTTTCTTCAACATTGTCCAAATTAATGTAATACATTGTAAGGTTTTGCCAAGGCCCATCTCATCTGCCAAAATTGCACCAAAATAATCTGGCACTTTTAGCCCCATTAAGCATTCATAAAGAAATACAATTCCATAACGCTGATGTTCTCTAAGTTTTGCTGTTAAACAGAAATCCACTGAGACTTTTTGCTCCTCATGGCTTATACATGCAGAAGTATTCATACATGGCATCACTAAGGGTTCACAATTCATTACTAGTCCTTTAATATAAATATATCAATAAATATTAATAATCTTTATAATGCATTTAAGTCACTCTTTTATAAATATGTAGCACCTTTTGTGAATACATCTGTTGATGCTTCAATTTTTTCTTGCATCACTTTTTCTACAGTTTCCTCAACATGCTCCTCTTGTGATACTTTATCTATAATCTAAAATTTAATCAAATTTTTGCATATAACATTACATAAATGAGCATTGATGCAGACTCTTACCTCAATTTGTTTATTTCCAACAATTAATCTAGAACCTTCTACTGCACTATTCGGATTGATTATTTTTTTTCCCATAACTTTCCCATCAAAATCCTATTTAAAAAATATTAAAAACAATCTCCAAGTTAAAAATTTATAATTAATATGTTGAGTACCTTAAGAATTGCATTTTCTCCAATTATTTCCAACAAACCGTCACCATCCCATGTTTTGTTTTTCTTTGAAGTTATTTGACCATACATCACATTGAAGATGCTATAACAATATCTATTTAGTGGTATGTACAATAATTAAAAATTAAGTTATTTTAATATTTATTTTCTAAAAAAACTTACATTTTTGATATCTTTGTTGGGGATGAATTTGTACTAGATGTTTCCTTTCTATAAACTGGAGCCTCAGCATCTTCTTTTTTTGGCAAAACTGATATATATCCAGTAGATGCTTTAAACTTCTTTTGTGGAGGTTCCTCTATTCTTTCTTTGGAATGCTCTTCTGGTATAGGTGACTCTTGTGACACTTGATCTTTAATCTGAAACATTTTGTTAAATTTGTTATATATTTTATAAATATAAGTTTAATAAGTTTAATAACAAACTTTTACCTCAATCTGTTTATTTCCAATATTTAATCTAGAACCTTCTACTGCATCATTTGGATTGATTGTCTTTTTTCCTATAACTTTGCCATCCATATCCTATCAGAAAATATTTTCTATTATAAAAAGTATTAAATCTCTAAATTACAAAATTTGCAACTGATATATTAATTACCTTAAGAATTGCGTTTTTTCCAGTTATTTCTAAGAAACCGTCGCCGTCCCATGTTTTATATTTTTTCGAAGTTACTCTACCGTACATCACGTTAAAAATGCTGCAAGAGATATTAATATTTATTTATACAAGAGGCAGATTTTTAAATTAGTGGTTTAATATCTATTTTAATATATTTACATTTTCGATTCTGTTTGCGGCAAATCATTAATTGAAGTATTCTTCTCGTAGACGGATGAATTGACATCTTCTTTCTTTGACACATTATTTTCTACTTCAATATTATCACGAGTGACCTCGTTTTCTGGACTTGTCTTTTCGAAAATGCTTAAAAGTTGTGCGTTGCTTCTAAAAGGTTTTCTCATAGAATCATTTGGTGTTTCTTGGCTCGTGTTTACATTATTTTCTTCGATGTTCACTCGCGATTGAACAATTAAAGGGGATATAAATCCCTTCACCGACTTGTTTCGATACATTATTACATAAATCGAGATCAATCCATGCGACACGATTCAATGGACGAAGGCGGGAAACAGATTCAACCGAAATTGAATTTGCATATAGCAGCATATCGAGTTACCGAGTGTGCATCGAAGTAAATAATACAAGATGATCGACTTGGGCCTGATTGCATCCTGATTATTTTAGCTTTAAGCGAGACTTAAATATATGTCTATCTCTATCTTCCTTTCTAAATAAATAAAGACAGACATATATTTAAGTTTTGCTTAAACCTAAAATAATGTTGGTGCAACCGGGCTTTGGTATTACAAATATTTCGAAGAAATCTTCGTCTTTTTTCTTGATTTGCCAATTAATATTTCCACAGCACAAGCCATCCAATCGCCGTGCATCTGCGCGAACGCAGTTGCGCGCGCGAACTGTCATCTGCATGTGCCGTCACGTGGCCGCGTTGTCACGTTGGACGTGTGATTGGTCTACCCCTTCGTTTGGCACACGAATCCTATTCGCGACAGTCATGTGGATAATTGTGACGTGTAATCTCGCTCGCGATGCAACACTTGCAGCAGCCGCGATCCGTCGTGGGATTCAAATGCGTGTGCAGTAATAGTAATCGCGTGAAACATAATGCGCGAGTGGGTGTGTGTGGTCGATTAGGTTCCCTGTCACGTATGCGGTCCCGCAAATGACGAAAGTCTCACAGCGATATGTGAATAGATCTTGGAGCGACGTAACAAATATTGGAGAAATCCGCGATTTCTACAGTGATTTTGTGATTATTAAGCCATCGCTTTCTATGATCTTCCGAGAAAGAGAGAGAGAGGAGAGAGTCGTGATCCGTGTCTCGAGTCCGTCCTTTTTAGGGAATGACATACATTTGGATACGATTGAATCGGATGCTGTTCGGGAACGTTCTTCTGTAGCGAATGATGTAACTTACAATTTAGCAAATTATATAAAGGTTGACTTTATTCCAACAAGATTCTCGGCGCTCTTTTTTGCTTAATGCTTTCTCTTTCTTCACAGATGCTGCTGTACCAATGAAGATATCTCAAAGTTAATAAACTTTAGCTATAGGTAATGTGATTTCTTCATGGTATTTGTTATTTTATGCTGAACTGTTATTTCAAGATGCATTTTTCTATACCTGATACTCAAGAATTTACTGATGGAGCTGGAAATACATATATCGTAATTATTTATCAAATATTTTATTTTATATTATACTTGACTAATTGTATATAATATTCAATATCTTTTAAACTATAGGGATACAATATTCATATTAATGGTTTATTTCATTGTACTGTGAGATATAAACAGCTGTACAATTTGCATGTACAACTCTCTAAAGATCTCGACATGTCATTGCCTATATTTCCTCCAAAAAAGTTTTTTCCTTTGACACCTACTCAGCAAGAGGAGCGACGATTAGCTTTGGAAAAATATATTCAGTCAATTGGTCAAAATGTAGCCATAAACAATTCTGAGATATTAAATGGATTTTTATTAAATGCTCAACAAGAAACTGTAGGTGACTTGTCTGAAACTGAAACTTTAGATATATTTCTCATGAATGGATCAAAAATTTCATTAAATGTTTCTACAGGAGAATATTCTGGTGGAATTTTAAAGGTATATTTTAGTAATTATGGTAATTTATATATTTTCTACATACATGACATAATTATGAAAATATTTCATATATGATTTTTTGTTCTTTACAGAAAGTGTATAAACATATAAAATTAATAGAAAAATATCATTCCTATTTTGCCCTATTTGTTATTATACAAGATGAATTATCTAATAATATAAAAAGTGAGTGTATGTCTTTATGATATTCTATTGACACACATAAATATATATTTTTCCTTTTTTATATATATTTACATATATTTTTATTTTTATATATATTTTTCTTTTTTCTTGTTTATATTAAAATATGTATTGTGTCCTCAGTATTGCGGAAATTACAAGATTTTGAGTCACCTTTTATAACGTACAAATATATGAGTTCTATGGGTGCAAAAATTGTTCTCAGAAAAAGTTATTGGGATACAACATATGATCTTGAGTTATTGAACGATCCAGTTACTCTGAATTTATTATATGTTCAAACAACTGCGGAAATTTGCAGTAGATGGATACTGGCTAATAAGGACACACAGTATCATTTGGAAAACTTGCAAAAATCCAGAAACAAAAAAGAAGTATGTTTATTATAAAAAAACTAATAACACTTTTAAGAGATTTATTGTATATTTTTATTATTTCAGTACTTGAATGTAGCTCGTTATTTAAAATATTATGGCTACATACAATTTTCACCATGCTATTGTGATTATCCTCAACATGGTTCAAGAGTATTACTTGCTATAGGTGGAAATGAATTAAACTTACGCATTTTATCATCCGAAGAGCAAGAAATTGTATTTAAGGTTTCGCGAATGCGATGCTGGCGTATTACCACTATACAAAATGTAAGTGTACTACTATGAATACTTTAATGAAAAAACTCGTTAAATTATGAATGCTCAATGAATACATTTAGGCAACGGACCATCCTGAAGATAATTACGAGTACAGTCTGGAATTATCCTTCGAATATCTAATTGCTAGGAACAAATTGCAATGGATTACTATTGTTTCTGAGCAAGCGATTTTAATGTCCGTTTGTCTACAAGCTATGATCGATGAGTTGTTACAAAAATGTGTAGTGGGCAGCAGAATTCAGGTTGTTATATAAATCATTTCAACTTATAATAAATGCTTAATCGATTTTTTAATTTTAAAATATATATATTTACAGGTAGAATCTGGAAAATCTTGGACATATATTATGAGGGACGGCCAAAGTCGTATCAATATGGGATCTCCTTTGCGAGAATGTGCCAATAATAATCATTTACCTAAATCGGGACCAATTATAAAAAAACTCACAAGTAAATGGTCGGCTGTGACGTCGAAAAAATCAAATGAGTCAGCTGTCGATAAGACTCATACAACATGCCCAACAACTAATGACTTTGATATTGTGGAAAATAATGTTTTTCGAATGATAGGAGATGAAGATTTATAAGTCAAATAATTTTTTATGGGAATTGAGATATAAGCCCAATGATAAGAAAAATAACAGCGTATGCCTTATCTAAGTAATCTTTTCAAGATATATTTTGTAATACCTACAAATCAGTAAGTTTCCAATTTAAAATTAATGAGAAATAACTATCAAGATTAATTAATTGTTGAACTATGCATATTTAGTGTCTTCTGTATCAATATGTGATTAAAATGCATTTATATTTATTGATAACTTTACATAAAATATCTATTATACTTTTATATACCGTCCAATTACAATAATAATCATTCTAATGCAAGTTGAAAATTAACTTGAGTCAAAACTGTGCTTGAATTATAAGTATAATATTGTGTACAAAGTACTTAATGAAAGAATATATATATATATATATATATATATATATATATATATATATAATATATATGTATTATATATATATAAACGATAAATACTAAATCATATTCCGAGAGATCAAATGTGTATATATATGTAATTTTTATATTGTAGTTTATTATTGTTATTAAACAAGATTACTTAAAAAGCAGTATGTTAATACTTGTTTTCATTAATTACCTTAAACAAAACTATTAATAATATGTCTTAATAATATATTTTTAATGTGTTAAATAGTAATCATTTTATATGTGGTGAGTTACCTTCTATTATCTATCAGATTATATTTTGTTTTGCTAAATCATTCACTCGAGAAACATACTTCTGCCTTCAGTCTCTATATTTCAGCCAAACACTGTAAATAGATTGTACAATACACAATATATGAATGTAAAATCATAAAACTGTCATGATTAAATATGAGATACAAAGCCATACTTTAAATTGGGAAAATAAAAATGTAATATATGAATACATACATAGATATATATGTATATATATATGTATGTATGCATGTATGTATATGTATGTATATATTTTGTCCTATCAAATATGTAAATATAAATCCCCGTATGAAAAGTGATTGCATATTAAGGCTAGATAACTGACAATCGTCTAGAAAAATGCATGCTCCTCTATGACACTTTCGTTTTAGTCTCTTTTTTTGTTTTTGTCCGATTTGTTCCAAAATACATAGTACATAATGTTAGTAGATAAAAGTTAAAAAATGTTTAAATTTTAAAGATTTTACAACATAAATTGTAAAAATATGAAATTTATAAATTGACATATATTTGTATAAATTTTTACAAATTTATAATTTTATATAAGAATGCAATTTCCTTTCCCCATATTCTGATGCATTACATGAAAACATGAAATAAATATAATAAAAGATAACTATGATTTTAACAGACTGAACATACACGAGCACTTAAATTATTTAAAACAGAATTCCAAAAATTTTTAATGTATATATAATACATGCATATAAAATGATTTAGAATATGTTGTTTGTGGAGTTGAGGATTTAATTATCTTTTGCTTAAAACCTCATTAGTATTACATGATCAAGATTATAGATAATATATGCTTCAAACTCGGACCTTATTTCGCTGACAATGTGCATACTTTCTATATCAAAAATATGTTGTTATTCTGTCTTATTATTTTCTAAAAAAGAAAATTAAGATCAGTTCTGGCTATAGCGTTTAAATATAATTCTATTTCCGCGCTACTTGCAAAATAGCCCAACGTCAGCAAGGAATTACTCCATTACAGTTACTTGCCATATGTACGTATTAATGGCACAAATATATTCGTTTTGCAGCTAATAATAAAAAAATATGCAGTGAATAATTTTAATGTTTTACATATAAAATCATTACTGTAAGGCGTTATACTATACAATTCTAAAATATCATTATTAGGGTGGAATTTGATAAATTTTAGTTTCAACAATTTTCATATTGCAATAAAGTAAATTAAAGCATATTAAGAATACTTTCTAATACGGAAGACTAATACTAGTAAATTCCTTTATGAAATATTTCATTATAATGCAGCATTATTTTTACCACAGTACTGCATATCGAAGAACACTATTTGTTATTTTAGAATTATGTAATCATGTATGATTCTTGCAACTCAAAAATCTAATAAATCTAATCATTTTTAGAAAATTGACATAAACTAGAGTTAGTATACAAATAAGAAGAGAGAGAGAGAGAGACTAACTATGGCAGTAGAATAAAAAGTAAATTAAATTTTACAGCCTTTACTTACTTCAAATTGTCATGATTAGATATAGAACATTCACATTTAAAATCATTCAAATGCTTGGGCGTTTCAGTGCATTTTGTGAATGCATTTCACACAAATAATCTTTTTAATGCAATATTCTGAGTAAAATGGCATTGCAGATGACTAGCTAGCATGTGACGATACGATTTTCACATATATAATATAAAATTTCTCGATAAAAACGATTGTAATCCTGATGCCTTTCTCTTGTAATCCTATTGCATTCTTTTTATTTTCTAACGACCCTATAAGAGTCTAATATTTCTATAAGAATAGGAGATATATTTAACAGTATAGATATAAACATAATACAAAAATTAAGTATAATGATTGTTTCTTCACCTAAATTATGTAAAATAATTTACATTGATGACGTGAGGCTATTAGCTATTACTAGCTATGATATCCCAGGTTCATAAAGAAAAGAAACATTGTGATTTGTGAGTAAACAGGAAACATTCAACGATCACATGTTTTCTGTCCATTTATGAGGTAAATATTCACGGAGTGTGAGAACAATGCTCTTTTCTTTAATGAAACCAAGGATGACGCGAATAAAATCTATCCATTTTATACAACTGTACACCCTTTGTCTATCCCTTTATCATCACTTATTCGCGTGGAGAAGAAAACCAACTCTGTTAGAAATTCTGTTGACGTTTCCGTTTAGTGTCCATGGCATCGAGAATAGGCTGTCTCTTTGTTTGATACCTTTTCCTTAATTCGTCGATCTCCCGTTCCATTTCTGCATCCAGACTAGCCATTCGTTGCTGCAGTTCCTCGTAGGAGAGAAACTTCAGCTGCAGGATATGGTTGTTTCTCTATATATATTCAAGTTTTCTTTTTTTATAATGCCTAAAGTGGCATTACTTTAAATAATTTAGTAGTAGAAAAGATGCGATTTATATATATTATTACAAAACAACAACGGAAAAGAATACCTTTAGATTTATATTGTTGATAATATATATCATATAAATATTGTATTTGAAAAAAGTTCTACTTACAAATTCGAAATCACGTTCTGAGAAGACGTTTTGGAATTTTGATATGTTGTTATGAGGCTGTTCTGGCACAGGATGAGATATCTGATTCTGTAATTGTAGTTGTAAATGACTTTGAAATCTTTGAGATTCAGTTGGACTTTGAAGCTCCAATCTGTTAGCATTTTCCGAATTTTGTGCTCCCAACATTTGTCCGTTACCCTATAATGATAATATCATTTGATATTTTTAACTAAATTATATACACTTAGATATAGTTTTAAATAAATATAAAATTAAAAGATTACTTTTCCAATTTCAGGTGCTTCTTTCTTATCAAAATGATCTAAGAATAACGGTCGATATTTCTTGCCAGATTCCACAGAACCAGTATTATGTCCTGAAAAAAATATTAAAATTAGTCGTGTATTATTATTTTAGATTGAAATGTTGATATCAAGAGTGATAAAAAATTATTAACTTTTCATGGTAGCTTCGGTATCTGTGTCGCTATTGATAACCATAGTACCCAAGTCCGGCATGGCCGAAACTAAAGTACCCGTGTCTGGAAGATCATGACTCGGCACTAAAGTCCTACTATCATCTGGTAATGGTTTCATAGTTCCACTGCAGTCATCCTCATCCTTACAACAAAGCATATATGTAATATGTATCTACGTACATATATTATTTTGGTAAATTAATTTTAGAAAATTACCGAATCTTCCGTCTGATTCTGACTTTTAATTGCAACATTGTTTATGACATGAGCTCTATGTGCGCTTTGCTTCTCTCGTATTTCATGGGCATCAGCAATCATTTGACTCAAAATACTTGGTTGCTTAGCATTACCTGCAATTACACATCGATTAGTAAGAAGTCATAATGTAAGTCCTCTCTCTTTGATCTCTTTTTTTATTTACGTATGAATTCGTGCTGTAAAAGCTCAGTCGCTGTGGCTCTTTCTTCGGGATTTTTTACAAGGCACCCACTGACAAAATCGATAAATTCTGGACTCCATTGGTCAGGTTCTCTAAAACTAGGTGGTGGCTTAGTCGGAATCATAAATATCGCTCTCATTGGATGTATGTCGCCATATGGCGGCTTGCCCTCGGCCATCTCCAAGGCTGTTATTCCTAGAGACCATATATCAGCCACACAATCGTAACCAATTTCTTGTATTACTTCTGGTGCCATCCAAAATGGCGTACCAATGACTGTATTACGTTTAGCCATAGTATCCTGTAAATATTTGGATTAGAGATTTGACTTGATTATAAATTCCTTTAATTTGATGAAAAGTCCTCTTATAACATACCGTTAATTGACCTGCTACACCAAAATCAGCTAATTTTGCATGGCCTTCATTATTAAGAAGGATATTTCCAGCCTTAATATCCCTATGAATTTTTCTTCTCAAGTGAAGATATTCCAGTCCTTTCAGAGTGTCGCTTAGGATTGTTGCAATCTCATCCTCCTGAAGGGTTTTCTTTCTTAACCTCATGATATCACTAACAGAACCGGCTCCACAATATTCCATCACAATCTAAAAGTTAAAGTTATATTAGTACATTTTTAAATCATTCACTATTATTTAATAATTTGAAATAGATTATGACCAATTTACCCATAAATCTGTATTCTTAAAATAACTTCCATAATATTTAACAACATATGGAGAGTCACATTGCTGCATAATTGATATTTCCTTAATAATCTCCTGCAAATCGGTATCGACAGGTACTTGCTTGATTGCAAGCACCTGTCCACTCTCCTTATGCAATGCTTTATAAACTGATCCATAAGATCTGTATAGAGATATATATTTAGAAATAACAGAGAAAAATTTATCACACCCTTTGTTAAAAATATTATAAATTTACCCTTCTCCTAATTTGCATATAATATCAAACACTTCTTCCGGCTGTCTTGTCAGACTTTCCTCCGATAACTTTTTTAATTCACTGAAAAGAAAATAATAATAATAATAACATAGAAATATATTTCTTAGATTTAAACATCATATCTCGGATTCCACTATGAGTCGTAGAAGAATTTCTGTTCATTTTATTTTGGAGATATATTTTTGGCACAAGATTTAATTGAATTATTTGAAAATCTCTCAGCAATTTAATCCATCCGTCAAATAGACAGTACGCTTTTTTATTTCGGTGCAAGATTGAAAAATCTCTCTTCATAGTTCAGCAAGATTAATTCAGCGCACGAAGGATCTTAAAAGTAAGGGGTTATTCAACGCGATAAATAATTTCGAATGATCTCCGTTGCAGGTTAACAAAGGGACAAAGAGTCGGGTCGACTGTCACGGATTCGTAACCGATCATTCGCTGCTAAAAATTCATCGTTGTCGCTATAAATAATTCCTAAAGAGATAAATCGGCAGCGGATCGTGCGTCGCCGAGAAAAAAAACGCAGAGTAAAAAACAATCGGATACCTCTTAGAAGACATCTTCGCGTTCGATGTCAGATCGCGTGGAGATCTTGAATAAAAAAGCACGCGCGGTTATTTATAGAAAACGTTAGCAACATAAACGCGGACGTCAGGTGATTATCATGCCGTGCGCGGAGGTAACATGGCCAATTAAAAATAGAGGCATTACATTTTTGTCAATAAATTAAAATATAACCGCACAACCGAAATATCGAAAACCTTCGGCCATCGTAGATGGTGCGGTCGACGGTCGACCAAGGGTTCGCGAACGCATTAAAATAGCACGCGGCGGCCCTCAGGTCCGTTTTACACCGACGATTTTTTTCAAGAATACCGGGCGGAAATGTCGCGGATTGAGAAAACTAAACGAGATGAAAGATTCGACTATAGATTCGATGTTACTCTGTCGTAAGACAATATTACATATATTTCAAAATTTTTAATTAGTTTTTGTCCTCCAAGATGAACATTTATTCATATAATGTTTTCTATAGGTATTTTTTAATAGCATAGATTGAAATCGTACAAAATAAAGACGCCGATTTTTATCTAAAAATACTAATTAGGAAGAGAAGATGAAGTAAGGACTCGCATAACAAAATCTTTTATTAATGTTCGAACAAAGAGGACATCACAGATGTATAATCAACAAGAGTAATTTAATTAATGATATCATGAATTATAACAGTAATTATATTTCCTCTCATTTCGATTTGGATTAAGTGAATCAATCTACTATCACATCGCAATTTAAAATCGCTTTTACGATTTCATGCGTATCTACTCTCTATTCGTCAAAAAATCTCGTAAATTTTCGAATTCGAGATTTTTTTTCAGAATGATTATCGATACGTTTTTGTTAAATCAAAAATCGCTTATACGATTTCACGCGTATCTACTCTCTATTCGTCAAAAAATCTCGTAAATTTTTGAATTCGAGATTTTTTTTCAGAATGATTATCGATACGTTTTTGTTAAATCAAATATTGACTCTTGAATGTCAGACAAAATAGCGATTAATATATATATATATATTTATTTATAGTCGAGGTACTTCAAGAGTACGAGCTCTTGATAATCATAGCAATTGACAAAGACAAACAGAAATCTTTTCAAATTGCTACAATTTATAGATGATACTTATTTATTCGAGAAGTATATAATACATCGATCTTATCAGCACACAATGAGAAAAGAAAACGTACTTTCTCGATGAGTAATACTTGATTTTCGTATTTCCGGCGCGCGCGACGCGTTTCTTCTCTTTACATCTAAACTACTACTTGTCTATGTGTGGAACGGACTGTGAAATTAACACTCTCGTCGCAACGTGTTGGTTTGTCGCTAACAGTTTTCACTGCTTTTTGCGGGATTTGCTATGTAGTCCGCAGATTTCGTATCGCTATACACAGGAGCGCGTTTAAAGACAAACGTTGTTCGCGATCTTGTTCCGCGCATTTGGCAATAAAATACATAATTTGCTCAGGTCGATAAATAAATTAGTAAATTTGCAAACTTAATGAAACGGAAAACAAAAAAATGATGCACATTATCTGCAAATAACAAAAAAAAAAAGATTTGGTCTACAAATATGAAGTCGGTGATCTGCGAACGTGAAATTCTCTCTCTTTTCTGTCGTACTCTTATATTTAATTTCTGCAATATTACATGGTCTCTGTACCAAAAAAAAACAAGTAGCATTTATAAAATCCACTCACTTAAATATAAAGATGTCCGTATAATGGGACTATAAAATTCCCGAGAGAAATCGCAATAAAATTTTATTAGCCGAAATGGCATTAAATTTCCTTTTTCAATGCCTTATTAAAGTTCAAAAAACGAAAAAATTCTACGAGATTTTAAACATTATGAACTTTAGAAGCGGAGGTTGCCCGGAAAAAAGACACGATTGCCTTGATTGCAGTAAAACGAAATAGCTTCGTTGTATATATCAAGAAATCATTACGTAACGGATTTCGAAGATCCTAGTCTTATAAACCCAGATAATAAATCGCTGCCTTAAATTGCAAAATATATCGGGGAAAAAGTGTGAAACGTGTCTTCGTAATCGAAAAACAATGGAAACACTCGTACTAGTCTAGTTTATACAGTCGTAACGTTAAAATACGTCGTGGAATTCATTCTTAAATATCTTGTTAACTTATAACATTACTCCGGAATCGTTTCATCGCACGGCATATTTGTCTAAAACGCAAAACGTAAACGCTACTTTCTTCTCGCTCTAACTCGGTTATCGGATACATTAGTTAGAAAAAAAGAAAAAAAAAAGAACGCGGTGCCGGCGTTATACAATACAAAACGTAACATATCCGATATAAACAAAAGGGAATGATCACGTGTAATGAAAATGAATTCAACTCCACTCTGTAGGCAAGAACAAAGGTAGCGGCCGTACGATTCGAAACAACTTTGTTACGCGAGAGAAAGGACGCGTAGACAGGTAAGCGTAGCAGGCCGCGAATTGTTCGCTCGAGTGTTACTTGATCGGTTTGCCCCAAGCAAACTGCATTCCCAGACGAGGGATGTCGCTACCAGTGGACGATTCGTCTTCGCTGCTGGACGCTGACGTTTCCTCGGAGATCATCGCTTCCCCGCCGGCTTCCTGGGGCCTCTGACCGCCACCGATACTGCATTCGTCCACCGCGGCCGCAGCGGCTGCTACCGCGGCAGCCACTGCGGGATTCACGGTCGGCGCTGCAGACGATGTGGAAGACGACGAAGATGACGAAGAGCAGGGCGACGATTGGTCCTTCCTGGGACGTCGTCGCGAGATCGGCGTCGAGCTAAGCGTTGGCGACCACGCGGCAGCCTCCTCCATTGCCGCGGCACGCGCTGACTCGCACGTAGTTGAGACACTCTTTGATCTCGCTCTGGTATCCATGGGTGCTCTGTTCGACAATCTGAGTGATCCTTGCCTAGAAACTGTCGTCGCACCCTCCGATCTATTTATTTTCGTGCTGAGTGAGTCGGACGATGATCCCTTCGATAGATCGTCGATTTCTAGCGTCCAAGAAACGGAGGCGCCCTTCTCGACCATAAACTTCATCATTGATGACGAGTGAGCGCCGTTTTTCTCGGCCGAGAAATTGTGTTCCATTTGTTCCGCGCCCGTGGATCGGGTTAGTCGCGGATTCAACTGATTCGCAAGAACGCTCACCCAGTCATTCTTATTTCGCAGTTTCCATTGTAATTCCTCGTTACGTTGGGATAGCCGTTTATTATGTTTCGAGACTTGGTGAATCGATTCGTGAAGCATCTCATTTTCGTGCGAGACCTGCCGCTCGAAGGACTCCTTTCGTTGAAGCTGGGCCTTCAAATCCTCGCATCTCGCCTCCGCCATATCAAGCCGTATCTGCAATGCATCCTTTTCTTCGATGTCGCGCCTGTAACTGTCGAGTTCCGATCGAAGAGCAGTATTCTCCTGACTCTTCAGTTCCAGCACGGATCTCAAGGATTCGATCTCCGCCATTAGCGCGGCGCCGTGATCGTGGACCACGGATCTCCTCATCTCTTCTTTGCGACCCAGTTCGTTGACGTGCTCAGTGCGTAATTTCGCGATTGTCGCGCGATGTTCCCTCGTGATCTCCTCCAATCTGACATCGTACTTGCGCCTTTCCTCTTTTAAAGTCTCAACGAGTGCGGCAACTTGTTTCGCCCTATGAGTTTCCACTGGAAAACCGAAATATCAACTTGAATTTGTTATTTTTAATTTTGTCGCATTAATAAAGTAGCGTTGTTAATTATCACATCATTATTATTTCATGTGGAAAATTTAATTTCTTTAACGAATAATTATTTTATTATAATATATTTTTCATCTTGTTATTGAATACTAATTTGTTACATGGATTTCCGTAAGTGACACACATGTGCAATTTTCAAATGGCTTGAAAACAACAGATTTTTACAAACAAACAAAAATACATCAAGTTTTTTTCTCCTATTATATTAATATTAATACTATTTCATAGGTTTCTGTATTTTTTTATTGTGTGTGTGATTACACTTACTACAATATACGTAACAAAACATAACTTACATAACTTTTAACCAACATACTGATGCATCATAGATATATTTTTGCTAACGACAAACCAATATTACAAGCGATTTGAGCCGTAAAGAAACAATCCAAAAATTTTTAAATTGCACCTTATATTACTATGTGCATGTTTTTTTCTTTTGTTTTCTTATGTTTTATTTTTTTTCTTATGTTATTGTCTTATTTAATTTTTTTAATGACTTATGTATTTATTTCTTAAACAATGAAAATTTGAGCATATCTAGTAATAAAAAAAAGAATTTTTAAAAGAATTTTATTAATAAATAAATTAAACAAATAAAAAGAAAAATTTTGTATCTCTCAATTTTATAATTTAATATATATTTTGTTGCAATATCGGCGCTTAAAGTTGAAAAGCTAAAGTATATACAAAGCTAAACGAAGAACACGCATTGAATCTATAATTAGCAGGCATTGAAACGTTGAACGTTACGTGAGAACTAAATTAAGAACAAAATCCTTTTGCGCGGCGAGTGTTCAAAATATATCTTTTAATAAAAGAAGAAAAGGAGAAAATAGAGAGGCAGGATTCGGCAGGATTAATCGTAAAGATTCGAGTTACGCGTAGGCAACTGCTGAATCGCTCACTTTAATTAACAATTGTTCCACTTTATGCAGGCATCGCTCATGCACCGACATTAGGACGATTATGCTCGTTTATATCACATGAATAACACAGAAAATAATATCCACTGCCGTTAGCTGATGTTTCGCGCACATTCGATATAATTTCTGTTTTGCAGCGCAAAACGTTACGAAGAGCTTTTCTGTTTTTTACTCGCCAATATTGCGTCATCGCATGTTTTCAAGATAGATATACGGCCCGCAAAAGATTTTTTCATCTGTTCAAACAGAAAATAAACAGATACGTTGTGCGTATTACACTTACACTCGTCACGAAGCTGGTCCAGATCTTTACTGTGATCCTCCCTCTCTGCTTCAAGTCTCTCCTCCAAATTGACACATCTCGCGCGTAAACCGTCGATCTCCGAAAGCACGGTCGATCGCTCGTTTTTCATCTTCTCGCAATCGATCTTCAACTTCTCGAAATCCTTCTTCAATTGAGGGGTAGCGAATGCATCCAGCTGAAAGATAATACTCTCGTTAATTCGCATAGAATTTTTTATATCAAACAAATATATAATAAGCACGTACCTCGAAAGCCAAGTAGTGTACGCTCACCGCAAGTGCCTGTGCGGCTCTTTCTGCGCGAAAATCCTCGTAAGGTACGGTGGTTTGCGCGGCCTGATCCCGCGTCTCCGGCGATGTCCTCACTGTAAAAGTGCTGTTGTGGTGAGTCTCTTTAGACTCACGATCTGTAATCAGCGTCGTCATCGGGCATCACCAAATTGATTACATTAAAAAAAAAGAAAAAAAAAACATAACACGCAAGTGTGTCGGCTAGACTGGCCCACCCACTCTGACGTATCAATGAATCGTCCCACGTGCCGCTAATCTACATAAGTATCTTGATCGCACGTAATGTACATGGACTTCACGCTTTGTCCTCCATTACACTTTATCGTCCATGACTACTCACGTCCATGACAGGGGAGGTCAATGTAATTCCAAGAACAAGAAATCATTTTTACGTCCGTTTGCTCAAGTCTTGACTCAATCGTCTGTGCACATATAACTCTGTGTGAAAGAGAGTTTGATGAGGGAAAAGTTGATGGAAAACAACTTGGAAAGTCGAAATACTCGTTTTATTTTTCTTCGACTCGATTACCTGTCAGGACTTTGACAGGTGACACACATACACATACACACACATGGAGAAATCGCGGTTTATTAAACGAGCACAGCCGTGATTTCGCGATTTACGTCACGTCCTGTTTTACAAAACTCGCGGAACGGACCTCTCTCTTATCTCAAGAATCGAAGCACGCGATTGTCATCCAAGTTCGTCGTTGAATGAGGGGACATCGGGCTAAGGTCAACTGTGTGTGACGCCCAGCCCTAATTGCGGAATTGCCAAAAGAAAATGCCTCGGTGACTACACTGTCCGTGTCCGTGAGCCGTGGCCAAGAAAATTTGCTTCCTATACATCCCTCCTGGTACCTGATACCCCCTCCATCATCTTCGGTACGTCAGAAAAACTCAGGTATTTTGGGAATGGATTTACGTAGAACGCGTTTCGACAGATTTATCACCAACGCGACGTAAACAGATTCGAACATTGGTTCGATTATTATAATATCCTTGACGAGCGGTTGTACGATTGGTACGAATGCGCAGCATTTGAACGATAGAACGACGTTTGTCAATCACCTTCGACGATAAGAATAATATTCGATTTGTCCTCTGTTAGGTTTCGACGATAAACATTTCGCGCGCAATCTTCTAATCAGCATCGTCATTCGTAACAATCTGCTGGCCGAGTTCGCGCTTCGACTGAATTAGCACGAGCCACGGGCTACCTCAGAGAGCTCTATATGCCTCTCCCACCCCACGTCCATTCTGCCTTACCTCTCTTCCTAAACACTCCCCTACCCTACGCAAGGTGGAATCGCCAAGATTAAGCACTGAAAGCGTAGATAACGCAATTTTTTCCCACGCGAATCTCTCAGGAAAAGAGGTTTTTCTCGCGACGCGTGTGAAGGAAAATCTACTTAGAGAGTTTTCCATCACGAAAATACAGGTAGATACGATGTCACGCAATTGGTATGAAATAAAAATGAATTTTGAAGTCCTAATTTCTTTTATCTGACAATCAATCGTTTGACATATTATATCTATGTATGTTTCTGGGTTGAAAAGTTCCCTCAGTTAACGAGCTAAACTGAAGCCCCTCGTTACAATCTTCTCTTTAGCAAAATTCTCGCAGTAATCGTATACTTCCGGTGTCCTTGGAACTGCTGCGCGTCGAATAACTCGAGTTTTCCGATTTGGAATCGACCGCCCTTAGATGGGAGAAAACGAGCGCGTGTTCGTGCTTACTTACGGTCGTTGAGCACCAGTGTGTACGACGTCTCTTACGTCAGGATGAATGCCGAACGTGCAAGAACGACGAATGCAATCGCGACGATTATCCCTTCAAATACAACGCATCCTTTCAAGTTCTACTCTTTACTATACACAACGGAGATCGTTGAACTCGTATAAATTGCTTTCGCTATTCCGTATTATTCAGAACGAACACCGGATCTTGATAAGGGGATCTCTCTTCTTCTCTCCTTTTCTCTTTCGCGATCATAGATCTGAAGTCTAGACTAGGTCAAAATGTCAATAAATTTTTGACAAATTTCGAAAGGAAAGGACCGAGAGAGGCACCGGGTAAACAGGTTGAGTTTTTAGCGTCAGGGATTATTGAGTGAAAGCTGCGACTTTCTTCAAACGACAGGAAGACTCGTACGAAGCGATATGCACGCGTCTGCATACATATGTACAATAGGTAAGGAACGAACGATGCGTTATTGCACTGAGTAAGTTAAATGCACTGTAATTACATGTACATGTGTGTATGCATATGTTGGAATAATCGTGGGAAGAAACTAGTTTTAGAAATTAATAGCAGTACTAAAGCAACGCGATTAAATGGATTATTGGAAAGTATAATGTGTGAATATTAACTTGATTCTGTTGTTTGCAAAATGACGAATGTAAGCGGAACAGCGGCGATCCTTTGATGCATTGTATTTTAATTGGCAAAGGAATTTGCCCGACGAATCAATCGCACGTACCTTTTATTGATGGCACGGAGGATTTCTGTTTCACCGTAGCGTTAGCCGCTAATCTTCTTGTTATCGCCGGCTTTCGCGCTGATGGCGGGCTCTTCTCTGTAAAGAGAATGTGTTGTGTTAACGAGAGCATGTTAAGCACTAACCGGTAGTATTTGCGAGCTCGCGTACCGGCGAGTATACGAGTACCGTACGACGAGAACCGTTTTATCGCCTGTACGAGATAAGGGAAGTTCAAGTATAAAGACAACTACATGTACGCAGTGTGTCCCATATACATAGATTATAGATCTCGTATTACTTGTTGAATAAACATTTTTTTTCACTAATTAAATTTTTACATGCATCATGTTTTTGAGATCTCATTTTCTAAATATATCAATACGGTATATTCATTATTTTTTGACTCTTTAAACGTTATGTACATTATTTTTTTATTTTTTCTCGCGTAAAATTTGGGTATAATTAAATCAATTTTGTTATAATTAAATCTATAATATTTGGTAATGAAATAATTATAATGAATGATATTTATAAGTCTATAATTTTTATAATGAAACAGGAAATTTTGAGTTGACACAAAGAAAAATTAAAAAATTCTCTTAATACGTCTTATTGAATATAAAAGAAAGATAATTAAGAATAATTAAGATTTATATGATGTAAAAAACTTTATATATAGATTTAATTATTAGAAAATTATCAAAATTTGTATACAAAGAATTATTTACATGAATGAATTAAGAAACAACAAATGCACTGTATCAGTATTTTAAAAAAATGAAACAATGCATTTCTGAAATATTTGTTAAAAATATGATGATTATAAATTATCGATTTATAAAAATTCGTCGCTTTGTAAAAAATCCACGACATACAATTAACGCAAATTTAAAATCGACTCAACTAAATGAAAATTCAGATCATTCTAATGCATACAATTAACACGCGCGAACAATGTAAGACAAATACCGTTAAAATTCCAATTTAAAAAAAGGTAAGCCTGAGAAATTGAATCTTTGAACATCTTGAATAATTATTTACTAAGATCATTAAAATTTTAATGGCGAATCGCGTCAAATGATCAAATCCTTCACGAGAATTTCTCCGTTATTCGTTCCGCCTTTATCTTGAGGGAAAGTAGCAAAGCGAGAATACACTCTAAACCGGACTCTGTCAGCGGCAACCGCACACTGTTCTTTTTCATCGTCTGCTTAAATAAGAAAAAGTGAAATTTTCGAAAATATTCTAATGCGCGCTATTTTTAGTATATGACTCCAATACTTTATGAATCCGTAAACCGGTAGATGCAGTTTGGTCAAGCTAGTCTTGGGGATAAGAGACGGGCTCTCTCTTTTCATCGTGTCCCTCGTCATGGTAGTAGAGCTCCGGCCGGAAATACGCGACAGTGCTTTCGTTCCTCTCCACTCTTTTCCCCCTCTTGATTATTAAAGCGATATTATAACACGCACGGACGTAGTTATCTAATGATCTCGAATGACAATCTGTAGCAAGTACATATATTTACCGAGTTCGACTGTCGTCACATCGATGCAGTTCTTTTTCGCGTCGAAACTATTGACACGGACCTGATGATGATTGGTATGGCCATTCGAGACGAATCTCCTGGGTGGGTTGGTGGACGTCGGTGATCTCTCTGAAAAAAGGCGCGATATGAAATTAAATGCGTTCTCTTTAAGAAAAAAAAAACAAGATCGTACAGATTAAATGAATTAAATAAACGCGACAGATGGTCTTCGATACAACTACAACGATGCGTGCCGGAAGAGTCACCGTTACACGGCTACCGAATCATTTCCTTCTACCTCGTTTGAAGCTGCCTAGACGCATCTTCACCGAGTCTCGGGAGAAGTCCGCCCTCCTCGGATGCGATGATCTGTCCTTTGATCCTTGTTGTCCCATCTTGTATCATGGGCTGTTTCTTCAACAATATTTTCCCATTATAATCCGTAAGTAATCTCCGTCGTCGACGAAAGTACGACTGGTCTCGCGCATGGCTTCATCCTGTCGTACTTGCTCGCGAATCGAGCGTGAGAATCATTCCAATGTATATACGACCATCGCCGCCGTCGTGGCGACGTTTCGTTCTTCAAGCCGAGATATACAACTGGCATCTTCCGGATGACTCGGTGTCGATCGATTGCGACGCGTGGTTTGTCTTCGGCACACGAGCTCTTATATCACAGACGTTCCGCTCGACATCACGGTATATCCTCTCGCATTATTTCGCTTTGGACATCCGACACCGATCACGAGAGGACACCGTATCGCGCTTTATCGTATCACGTATCACGTATCAGCACAGCCACCGCAATTCCGCGCGTAAACTATACGCAAATATCGTTCTAACTGATTATTCTCGGCTATCGAAAGCTCTCGCGCAATCTCGCGTGGGCTCAGCAGCAGTCGCCGATCCCGATAACGATTGCGTAAGTTCGCGCAGGGCGGATCGAGGGACCGGTAGTCGCGTACCGATACTCGTCGACCTTGGTCGCAACGCACGTGGTCGTCGCTCGGTCGAATACACCTGTCGCCGCCGACGAAGGTGGGGACAAGGCGGACGAAGGCAGGAGGGCATCCTCTTCGCCTACGTGCGACGAAGATGCACGACGACGGAGGTGCATGGCGAGCCAAGGTGCAAAGAAAGCACGACGAAAAAGCCTTCGACAAGAGGCCGGAAATAAACGGCGAATGGCGTTGACCCGCGCAGCTGTCGGCGCGACGTGTGCCGTTAATGCGGGCCTAGACACCGTATGCAGGTAGATCGGTACGTACCTGCACAGGTAAATTATAGTGATACGCGGTTGAGATGCAGGCAGTGAAACACCGACGCGAACATCGCCCTCAAGTTGCACGGCACGACGACGTATAACGGAGATGTCAAATCCCGGTGAGGCGACAGGTGGGGGCGATGAGTCGATGAATATACAGCGCCGAGTATATAAATCGCGAAGATGATTAAAACACAGAAATATTATAAATTCATCAAAGTTTGTAGAGAAGGAACTTTCGCGAAATACATGTCCGCATATATAATCGGCACGTGTGCACCGCAATGGGAAAAGGAACGAAGAGAAGGCGCGATGGGAAATAGGTCATACGTATATTGAGAAGAGGCAACCCCTCTCTCTTTCTCTCCTCGTACATCCACTTGCGTCGAAGAAGACGTTCGCATTCGGGGCAACTCCCGGAGGAGAAACGTTGCGACACCTTCTCCTCCCCTCGACGAAAATCAAAACGAGAGGTCAAATCAATGTTCGGTCCAGATTCGTCGCCTGGATGATCGCACGATGTTCACGGTCACTCGATGGTTTATTCACTGGCAACGCATCGAGCTGTCATCCGCTTCTCTCACTCTCTCTCCCTCTTCCCCCGCGTTCACGCTATGCGCTGCTACGCATTCTCCGTTGACCCGATTTTACGAGAGCGAGCGAGAAGTAATAGGTGTGTGTTCCATGAGAGAAAGACCGTAGGTGAGGGGCTAATGTATCAAAGACACATGCGCGCATTTCATATATATATGTATATAAATATATATATGTATAAACGTATACGATACGATTCAACACGAGATCCACCGAGAACTACCGACCACCGGATGGATGCGACTGCGGCGAAGCTGCGCGATGCGCGCCGCTCGACGCAGCTTCCTCCTCCGTGCAATGGAAGCAAAACGACGTTACGTTCACCAGTGGCGCCGATAAAAGGGGCAATAAAGTTCCTCTAGATTTCCTCGACTCCTGAGAGCTTTTGCTGTCGTGGGTCGATAAGGAGACCTCGCCTTTCTCTCCGGTAGGTAAGCTATACGTAGCGGAACGGGAGAGGATCTTTGCGTATCTTTTCTTTTTCGAGATAAAATATTCATCTTTGCTAAACGATTTTACGTTTTCCGAATAAATTCAAGGATCCCGATGAGATATATATCACTTTGCATATCTCGATATAATGAAATCAATCCTGCGTCAATTTTATATTTTTTATTTTGAATATTGCTTCTAAGTCATTTATTTAATTTCATTTGTACAAAGAATTGTTATCCAAGAACTCGTCAAAAATGTATCGAAGACCATGTGAAATAGCGTTGTATTTCTTTTTCTAAGTAAATATAGAATTTCTAACAGCAATATGAAGTCACACAGTGAAAAAACTATGTATCTCTTGTTACTTATATTTATTCAAAGATTCATTTATCACGATTCATCACATATAATGATAATTACAAGTCTTCATTAGTGTGACTCAACATATTCCGCCAAATTCTTTAAATATGAATATTGATGCTACTTACTTGGTATATCTTTACTTGGGCCACTGCTGAGATCGCTCATGGAACTACGAACAGAACTTCTGGCCGTTTCCTGCGTCGGTGATTTCATTTCTTGCCAACCGCGCGTTCTCCTAAGATTTGGAAATATTTCTGATATAAATTATAATACAGAGAAAACGCGAGCCAATTTTATAATCATAAATAATGTATCTTGTCAATTCTTTTAACAATTATTATTATTAATAGACATCTCGCTATACTCTTGGCGGTGTTTCTAACTCGTTAACGATGTTACATAAAGTTTCGCGCGTATTTTAACATGTTTATATATAAGCAACGACACGTAACAGTAGTGCTATTGTTAAAAGTTAGAGAAGTTAAACCTACTGGTAAAAATAATATCTCTGCATCGTTTGTTATAACTTTATCTAAGCCTCACCGTTTGTCTTTATTGTTATTGTTGTTTGCATCGCCGGCCTTTTTTGACATTGGTCTCGCAGCAGGTGATAAAGTGAGATTTTGCAATACCCTCGATTTTACTTCTTTTCTAGCTGGCCTTGTCCTTTGTTCATTTTTACCAGCTTCTATCTTATTCATTACGGCATCCCAGCGTCCACCTTTTCTAGTTGATCTTTGAGAGCGTCTTGCTTCCTTTTCCGCATCATCTTTCGAAGACGATTCGATCATCGCCTTAATCTTCGAAACAACATTTCTTTTCGGCATTTTATATTTTTTCAAAGGCACCGAATCAGCCTTGCTTTGTGGTTTGGGTCTAATGTTTTCATTATTCTCGACTTTCTCAATTGCCATAACTTCAACAGAGGCCGTTGTGTCGTTTATGCTAATCGTTTCGTCCGACGACTTTATGGGAATCTACAAGTGTTTTACGTATCAATGACATTTTGAGGAGAGAATTTATGCAAAAATTAAATCTCGCACGTACCTGTAAATAATCCATAATAACATTCGCTACAACCGGCGTGGGTTGACTCCTTTGGGAAAGTTCAGTATCCCCGGTATCAGGAGTATGATCGTCGTTTTCTTCCGACGCTTGCTCGCCGGGCGCTTGAAGCTTATCCAAATCTGAGTAAATTCCACTGGAATCCATCTCTTCTCCGGTGAAGCTAGGGCATACGCGTTCACCTGGTGCGCAGAACAGCGTGCCGTCGATTACTTGCGCCTTCCTATCACCCCGCACAATTTCTTCGTGTGCATCCGCGTCGCTCTCAGTGAAGAAATCCGAATCAGTCATCGGGTCTTGGCGACAGGGCGCGGGAAGATTGACCGGCGGCACTGCCATAGATGGTGGATCCGCGCCACGACTGGCTGGTCTCGAGTTCTCACCGTCCCCTTGATAACCCGCTTCGAGACTAGTGATGCTCGTGACTGATGTTACGAAGCTTACCGGCACGGTACTACCTCTAATCGGCTCCACGGGTTTAGGATCGAGCGGTAATTCTTCCGGCGAGGGCGTCCTTTCGCTACAGCCCTCTTCAGCGGGTTCTACATCGACTAACGGCCTCGTGGAAGCGGACGCTCGGGTCAACGCTAATTTCGAGCCGGCCGAACCAGTGAGATTCTCGCACGATGGTGTCCTGGAACACTCCAATGCTACTGTGAAATCAGTCATCTGGTCCGGCGTCAGTATACCGAGACTCTCGTCGTGTTCAAAAGAGTTTTGCTTGTTGAGCATCAAATAATGCGGCGTTGCGTTCGCATCATTGTAATTGCTCAGGCCTGATTCTACAAGACACGTGTCGCCGACATCTTCAATCATGCTCAGTTGAGAATCTTCAAGTAGCCTATCACAAAATAGAAAAGATATGCAGAGTGAAGCAATTAATAAAAGCTATTATATATATACATATATATATATTTATTTAAAAATGTTTTATTTATACCTGAACAAGCTACTTTTTTCCTCACTGAGATGCACCAACTGTTGCACATCATTCTTGTCGATGTCCCATCCCGGCGATATCGCGAATGTCTGATCTGCCGCTGAATCGGCTGAAACATAGAATTCGTTTCATACATGTTAGCCACAACGAGTGAAAGCATACATATTATTGTAATTATTATAAATACAAATTCGCGTGCGCAATTACTTTTGATGTTAGGTGACGATGTCGTGAATCCTGAGAACTTTTCCCGCGGAGTAGGAGATTCGTCTTCGGTGTTAACGAACTGAAAGCATCCCGAGAAGATAGTGGATCGGCGGCTTCCCGACAAGAGCCTCGATGCCTCGAGTACTCTCGATTTCGGAAAGAAAGACGGACGAGCTGCCCGTGGAACAGGTATCCGGCTCTCCCCTACGTTCTGCAAACAAAATAATGGGTGTGAGTATGATTTCTTCTCGAGTCACGCAAAGATCGTTCCGATAGCAATGATGAGAAAAGAATATTTCTTGATAATTAATAAAATTAATTACTGCTCAATTACACGAGTAATTCGTACGTAGTTTAGTAATTTTCTTTTTTTTTCTTCAAGGTCAGCTAATAAATTTGATCCGATGAGCACGATAGTCCGTTGCCCTTGGCCCACCTCCAAATAATAAACTCCACCCCTCGAATGATGAATCAGAAATGTCACAGTTGCTGAATTTAATTTTAGTTCGTGGCTCTACGCGTCTTTTTTTCTCTTCCTCTTTCGCGAGTTCCCCTTCTTTGTTCTCTTAAACGGGCGCCAGTCGCGATTTCGTACGCTTCTTTCATCTCGTCACGTAACGAGTATACGTAACAGGGCTTAATGAGAAACGATTACAATTATGGTTAATTGTTAAATTTGTTTCATGTTTATATATGCGATATATATATTTTAATGTCGCTTTACAAGTAATTTGGTTGTTTTCCAGTGCGCTTTTCTCTCGAAACGAGAACTATACTAGCGTGTCTACGGACAATAGCAGGTATACCATCATCGATGCTCTCCCCGATGCGAGAAACGGGACACCTACGTAATCGACGCTACAACATGTTGAACGTGTGGCTGAACGTGTTGTCGGTGCTGAGAACTAGGTTACTGCGAACCGCTACGCGGGGCCGGGCTCTCGTATCCCGACTGTAAATTAATGGTGGATCCCTTCTTCTATTGCCACACATATATTAGAACCATACATGCATTAGAACATAAACGATACACATATTTTCCTTCGAAATGATCGCAGCGTCTGACACGAAAATATGACATGCAACGACAATGATATTCTATTTATCATAGCGTTGAATCTATCCTCCCCCTCCTCAATTTATCTGCAGGCGTAATAAACATTTTTTTACACGTCACGATAAAAATTGATATATGCGAGACCATGCGGGAACTTGTTTTTTTTACCCACAAACGTGCGGTATTGATATTTTTTCCTCTCTGCTGCTGTTGTGTTAAAACCAACAGAAGCCACGCGAAACGGTAATGTAATGGGTCAGCAATCATCACGGCCACATGAGCGTAGCTGTCTGTGTGGCTTTCACACATCTCATTCGCGTTATTGAAATTTACATTTTCCTCGTAAACACATGTCTCTAAACACGCAGAAACCCACACGCTAAGATGGAACATGTCAGAAGATGCGCCGTAGCAATAAAATGCCAAGGTGAAGCGAACGAAAAAAAAAGAAACGGCGAGTCAGCGAAATCGACTCGCATACGAGCCCGATGATCGAAAAGAAGGGGAAACGCGGATCGAATTGAGAAATGACGAATAAATTTTGCATGTCGAGCGAGACCGATATCGAGAGCATCGGGTTTATCCTCCGGAGCCTTAATTCCCGCCAATTTGTGCAGACACGCGTCCGACAGTCATGGTTTGTTACTTTTCCAAGACGTGGAAGCCGCTCGCGTGCCTTTAACCGCATCCGAGAGTTTCTCTCTCTCTCTCTCTTTGATGAATTATATAAAGACAATTTTTAACAGCATTCTCGCACGAGTCTCATTCAAGAGCGTTAAATCTCCGGGTGTTCTCAAGAGTGTCGGCGATATCTCTTCTCCTTTCTCGCCTAAGGGCGATCGGAGGTAGAGACCGAATAACGATAATTTACGGTTTTCATCAGTATATATACCGGTTTCGACTTGGGATATAAAGATCGCCGAGACGGTATATTATATTATACTGCGGAATTTTTCCCCGCGAGCCCCGCAATTTTACTCGATTCATACATTATGCAATTAACTTAATGCGCGTGACAGCACACGATGACTTGTGTAACACAAACTATTGGCGTAGCTGCTCGCGGCGCGATTGATTATAATCTCAATAAAGTACATTCCATGGCACGCGTTCGTGATCGACCGCCGACACACTACTGTCTGCGATAAGATTTGCGCGATAAAATTATCGCGAATAGAAAGTACCTCCGACGCATCCTTCATTTGCGTTGGCCATTTTAAAAGACGATAAGCTCAAAGTTGCATTCATTTTCAAGATTACATATGCTGCTCCTTTAATATTGATATAGATAAGTCGCTTATCTAATATTCCAGAGACATTGGGTCGAATCGTTATCAATGTCAATGTCAACAATTTGCCGAAATGATACAGACATTACGGTAATATCAATTATGCGAGATTATACGAGATTCGATCGATATGTAAAACGTGGCAAAATTTATGTACCTCGTTCAAGTTTCACTGTAAACTTCGCGGAAATATCAAAGTGTATAACCTTCGTAGATAAGCTATCGCAAATAATGTCGTTAACATTCTTCGGATGCCTGTTTTTCACGTTTTGTCTGGGAACGATAAGCATCCGGATTAAAATGATCGATCATTTGTATTCTCTGGATGATACACTCACAAACACGTTCGTTAACACTGTAATTAATTTCAATGGACTCTATTGACACAATCTTCCTCAACGCACAAACTGTCATACGTGGAACGAGCGATATGGTTTACTTTTTTACTCAACGTCAGACACGTTTTCTCATTTTCCCGAGTAAAAAAACATATAACAAGCGGTGTATTCAAAATTAAAAGCAAACAAACAAACATACCCCGTCGTGTCATCAGCATTTCTCACAACGCCAACTGGCTCGCAAACTTTCCGCGCAATTTTTCCGACAGCAAAACAGGAGGGGAAAAAACAGAGAAGAGACAAAGAGAGCGAGGATTCTCGCAACGTAAGCTCGTAAAGCACGGGGGATCGATAACGACTAACTACTGACGGACCGCGATCGTGTTGCGGCCGACACGGCGTGTACGACAATAAAACATTTCGAATCCGCTTCGCGATCCCCGGCTACACCTGCTTGTGTTCCTCTACCACCGCCACCGCCGCCACCGCCAAGCGCGTATCCGCGGCCTCGCAAACGACCGCCATCGCGTCGAGCGGGAGCGAGCGAGCGAGCGAGCGAGCGTACGATACAGCTGCCGGCGATGACGATGACAATTACTCTATTCTGTCTCGGAACGCATTCACCAAGCCGTAGATCCGTCGCGGATGCGACGAGCGTGCACGATGGAGTCGAGTCTCGATACTTTGTATCGCAAATGCGTTCTGCGTAGCCTGCTTTCTCGGGTTATTTACATTTATTCTCTGTCCACTCTTGTTAAAAAGTAAAGCCAGTTGAAGCTGGTGTACATCGAATATCGAATATCGCTGCTTCGAGTTTGCTGAACTCGAGGAGAGACGAGGCTTTGTTTAAAAAATCTCTCACGTCGCTTGTTACTTGATATCTATTATGCATACGTATCCGAGGTACGAATGGAGGATTGTTAGTAGCGTGCGTATTCGCGCGTGTAGAAAATGGAACACTGGGAAATTCGCCAATGTCCGGATTATCTATCCGCGTCTGCGCCGTCCAAGTGTAGAGCATGTTGCTCTTAAATTATGTAAAAGTAGCATCATACTTTGCTCGCGTGCATGCGACCCAACTGTGGATCACTTCGTTTTATAATTCGCTATTTTTTTTTTCTAAAATCTCAATTGTATGGGTCGTGATATTGATACGGGCCACAGCTTAATTATGTCGAAATCAAACGATCACCCTCCGCGTAATTGATATCACGCCTAATCCTACGAGAAAATTAATGATGTGAGGCCTAATCGAGAGAAAATTAATTTTAAAAAATTGCCGAATAAATCGCGCGTCGATTTCCCAACAAGTCTATGACTCGCAATTAATAGACCACAAGGGTATAAATGTAAATAAAATGACAAATAAAAATATTGTCTTTGTTTAATTCTTACAATTCTCGTTATTAGTTTCCCTTCTGTCTCTTCCGTGCAAATCCTCGCCTTTTCTCTTCTAACTCTTCCGCGTTAATACGAGTTACGAAATATTCTACTGCTAGCACTTACAGTTACTTGCTCGACATTTTGCCGGTTATTGACTTTGCCCGTTATTGACAGTCAAACCGAGCAACGTATCTCGATTCGACACGTAACGTTGTCGACCGTGCGCGAATCGTTACATTACGTGCATTACGTATATCTCCGGTGATTCGGGGCCGATCTCTCTTTTTCGTTCCGGGACTTACCTTAGCCATATCGTGGGTGGGACCGCGACGATTCGACACTCGGTACCTCTCCCTCGCGGCTCCCGGACGCGCGTTCCTCGCTCGTGACTAAGGACGTATCGCCGAGTCGCATGCCCTCCGAGGGACGCCGTCGTCGTCCTCTTCGTCCTCGTCGTGCAGTCCTCCCAACCGCGAATACGCAATGAGACGATCCTCGAATCTCCGTCGCCCGACTATCGCGAATGACGCGACGCCTCGCACATGCGACGACGCTCTCGACGTCGGCGTCGTCGACGACAATGTTATTGATCGACGCCGCGCGGAGGCGTCGCTGTCCGTCGCTGTATCGCGGCGGGGGAGGGGGGAGGCGGGCGCCGGTGGAATCACCATCGAAATATTCTCGCCAATGTCCGGGGCGGCGGGAGGGGGAGGGGAAAAATCGCACCCTCAAATTGAGACGCGCTACATACGCCGCGAGATTGTTACGCACGATGTAACCGTCGTGTCACTTGGCGACAACTGAGGCTCCCCCCCCTTCCCCCTATCCATGTCGGTCCCTATCGAAAACAAAACAATGAATTTGCGCAAAAAAAAGAAGAAAAAAAACTGCGCTCCCAATGTCAACAGTAGCTGTCAAGGTAAACAAAAATCTGCTCGCGATCTTTTTCAAATTTAACATTGAAATATAACAAAGTAATTGATTTCGCGAACGAAATAACGTATCTAGGGGAGATATCCTTCGAACTTTCGTTTTTCGCTAACTTCACTATCGTGCTTGTTATTTCTGTCACGCGAGTACACGTAAGAAATTATAATAGAAATATCTCACCATCGTGGCGTCTCAGCTCGTGCAGACTATAATTCTTCGTATTATGTTTATATTTCATTCCTTGTATCGCCCGAACTGTATATAATCGTCGCGCATTATGATTAAACTTATTCGTGAAGGATACGTTAATCGATATATTGACATATTCGCATCCGTTTGATTTTTGTGCGACGGCCGCACCATCGCCTGTACGCGGCAGGAATTGGAATTAACTCGTTAGACGGCACAACTGTCGGTAATGTCAACCTCCTTTTTATCGAGCGATCAAATTTCACGAACATCTAAACGAGACTGCGATTTCGCTGCAATTGCTTGTCCAAAAATTTTTTTTTTCTGCAGAATTTTCAAATATTTAAACGTTGTTTAATGTGCATAAATCTAGCGAATACAAAAATATATTGAAATATCGATTAATGCGATTAATCCTCGGTCGAATTACGCTATATCATCCAGTTATCAGCGATAGCGGTAAATTCCAAAATTTTCTTCGAAAAGATGAGTCAAGATAAGTACTTCTCTTTCATGTGTGAACCTTTATGCCGATAATAATATTTATAGGAACTAATCTTCGATGATCTCGCAAAAGAGATAGACCAATCGATGTTCCGTAGACTTCATTTAATTTGAATTTCATTTTGATTTCAGCATGATTGAGCATTTAAGTTTTTCTAAATAATAAAAAATTTGTTCATGTGTTAGTAATTGCATTATATTGATGCTACGAGAATAATATTTCATAATCATTCTCGTTAGAAAGATAAATGTATATTTAAATTAGCAGAAATTGCGCGTTGCATATTTCACTTCTGACATAAATATTTTTTATAAATCGCGTGATTGATAATAATAATTGACAGTTGTGCTTTTTTTTTATTAATATTTCTATTTAATGGCTTCTCTTCGACTTATAATGATACCTTTGATTCGCGTTCTGATTCTGCGCTCGTATTCAGACATTAATTTTTATCGCAATAATTAAATTGATCCGATAATTAATTTAATAACGTTCGTTTTTTTCCATCATCGAGAACCTACAAAGAAGACGATGAAGACGGATTCCATCAATTCTGGTTGAAAGACGAGCGAGTGAAAAAGCGTCCACAGTTTCCGATTGCGTAATAATAGTCGAGTACAAATTCACCGTGATTGGCAAAAAAAATGCTTAGCTAGCAAATGTTAATCAATCGTACGTATTCATAAGTGCCGGAGCGCCTTGTATAAGGTACAAATTTCTTAGTCCGTATTCTTATTCCAAGTTTTTATTTAAGGTATTTATACACGACTTTATACGTTTATGCACATCAAAGTATCCAGTTCGACACAATCGGCATCGGGAAGATGATGGAAGCAAACGACATGTCTTTTCAGACCAATGTCTAAGTGTTTGAAGATACGAAGCGAATAGAATACTTGAGTAATTTATTTGGTTTTCTAATTTTAATTTTAAATTTAATTTGTAATTTTCTTTGTTTTTATTCCATTTAAATCCGTGTTTCTTTACTACACAGTAGACGACGTAAAAGGAATCCATTGGTTGGATCGCATTTAGCTCTTTAAATTTACATATATCAGCTGATGTTTTCGATGCAATTTGCGTCGATTTTTACGAAAGGAAGAGTTGCAATAGCGAGAACTGAGAGAATTTGCAATTTATCCGACCTGTGGGAAAGATAATACTTTGAATAGATCGCCTCATTACGTAAGTATCCGAGGATTGTTCAATTTGGCACGCATTGATCGTCGATACGCGAAATTGCCTCGCTCTTCTTATTGTGATTCATTGATACGTGTGTATGTATGTTAACGAGAAATAGTTATTAAATTGCAAATCGCCTGCATCCGCTTCTGCGACGTCAAGTAACGAACTACCTTGTGTGCCATTGCAATAGACAGGATGGCACAAAGATAGCGCGATATTTATAAGAATAATTTTCCTCTATAAAGCGTCTTATATAAAGCATAGCTCGGAACTATCGTATTCCTTATCAAGAAATTAACATTTTTTTTTCTTTAAAAGTTTCGAAAATGCATCGTTTTCAAGATACCTTATTTTTTTTATTTACTAATACAGTGCATTGCTGTTTCTTGAGCCTTCTTTTACTGTAAATGATTCTTCGTATATAAGTGTTTATAATTTCGTTTACAATTATGTTTAATATGTTTTACATTTTTATAATGAAACACTTGGAGAAATTTTATTTGAGCCAATATAAAAATTTTTTGGAAACTGTACTTTTCGACTCTAATAATAATAAGTAAAATATGTAATTTATGTAGTTTTTTTACTTTTTTTCATTATATTTCGTGTTCAATTATTATGGAGTAATTATGATTGAAAAATAAGATATTTTGGAAACTTTTGCATTTTTGGAAATTTTGGAAAGCGATATTTTTTTTCACAAAGAAATATAACAATATCAATCTGCATTTTATCTGTATCGGACAATTTGTATACAAATAGTATATTCAGTATTTTAAATAAATTATAAGTACAGTAATTGAGATCGATATGCATCAAATATATAATACTTTATGTATACATTCGCGCAATATTGGCAGATTCAGATCCCGTGATAAAGTCACACATACCTAGTTGAGTTTGAAGAGGAAAAATATTCGTAAAAATCCCCGTAATTCCGTCTCTAAACACTCACGCAATCTGAGGAAATTATTTTGTGAGAAAATCGCCGTTAAATTCCCGCGCGTCGCGCCACGTCTCGCCTATCGCTCTCACGAGGCAACGAAAGTCGGCCAACGTCAGGTAACACGATCGCAGGGTAAACGATTTGCCAGTCTAATCGTTTCAACGTCATCGCACGTATATATAATTCGCGTTGCTTTTTAAACCAATTATTCGACGCATCGCGGCAATGCAATGATCTCGCGCCCGCGGACGTTCGCCGATCAATGTCACGCGTGTCGATCCGTCACTGGGCAAAAATGCGAATGGGCGTAAAATCGCCGGCGGGCCCGACGACGTCGTAGGCCGCGCTTCCCAACTAACCTACAACCTCTAATGAGATGCGTCGACATCGGGGTGTGCTCGTAGATACCGCGTATCGCTCGTAAAAGTGATCAGTCATGAGTCGCGACGTCCGTGCGTGCCGTTCGACGACGACGTGGATAGAATCCGAGGCGATCGCTGACCGCGCGAGTTCCGGATCGCACCGCTTATAGGTTATCTCCGGATCTCTGCAGCAGTTGACGGTAACGATACTACGGTCACGTACGTATTTACGCGCGACGCGCATCCCAAGTGTCGTTGCGAATACTGCGCGTAAACGTATGCGGAATTTCTCCACGGCATATCACGGCATACGTCAGTCCGTCATGTGTCTTGCGAAGGTCAAGCCGTTTGAACTCTTCCTACCTAGAGTTGGCTTTTGTCTCGGTTTCAAACAGGTAATCACTTCCCACCAAGTCCCGCTTCGAATCACAATCGTATTTGTTTTCATCAATGTATTTGTCTTTTATCTGTGAAAAACGTTTGATGATTATTTTATTATTGTAATTTATCGCTGGAGCAGAATATGTGTCATATAATAATATGTATCTATCATTCTTATCACTATAATAATACGTGCAAAGTATTCACTTCGTTACTTCTCTTATGACAATATTAAATACTTATACATCTAGCTGTATTTTAAATATATATATATATATATATATATACAAAATTTTTCTTTAAACTTGATGGATTTAAAATTTATTGTTGCTATTTTTTCTTATTCTTACAAGTAATATATAGATTCAATAAATATGTAGATGTTATAATATGCAACCTTTGTTTTGTTACAGCAATACAAAAGATCAAGTGTGACTATCTTTTGGAGGAATTTTTGAATTACATAAGTAATTGTTGCAATGTGCTTGTGACTAAATATAAATCTTTTACATTGGTAAAATAATGCTTAGAATCATCGTATATCTTTGTATAACCTGACTGTAAATTTTGAAAATGCAAGCCAAGAAACGCTATCTATTATTATTTGTAACATGTGCGTTTCTTGGTTACTGTTACTTTGGCGGATATCGTTTGAAAAGCGAAAAATGGACAGGCAGATCTCAGTTGCCTTACGAGCGATTGCCTTCATATTTAAGTCTAAACGAGGAATTCTATGACAAAGATTTAAAGACATCCAGCGGGAGTTTAGCTATGTCTCAACGTGCAAAGCATTGCCGCATGGAAACCTGTTTTGACTTTACCAGATGCAAGCAAGGTTTCACTGTATATGTATATCCAATTGAGGAAGCGATAAGTCCGTTATACCAAAAAATATTAAATGTTATCACAGAGTCAAGATATTACACATCAGACCCTGCACGAGCATGTATATTTGTCTTAGCCCTGGATACATTAGATAGAGATCCTTTATCTACTGAATTTGTACACAACCTTCCTTCTAAACTGTTGCATCTGCCATATTGGAATAACGGGAGAAATCATCTGATATTTAACTTATATTCTGGTACATGGCCCGATTATTCAGAGGAATCGCTGGCTTTTGATATGGGTTATGCGATACTTGCTAAAGCCAGCATGTCCATCTTTAGACATAGATCAGACTTTGATGTATCGATACCTCTATTTGGAAAACAACATCCGGAACGTGGTGGAGAACCCGGTCAAGCGTTAGAAAATAATTTTCCTAATAATAAGAAATATGTGGCAGCTTTTAAGGGGAAACGATATGTCCATGGTATTGGATCTGAGACAAGAAATGCTCTCTATCATTTACATAATGGCAAAGATTTAGTATTTGTTACAACCTGCCGACATGGAAAAGCTTGGAGAGAATTTCAGGATGAACACTGTCAGCAAAATAATCAGGAATACGATACGTAAGTAGCAATTTATATAAATACTAAAACATTTTGTTGGATCGCATATTAACATTATTTGAAACCAACATGTAATTGCATATATTTGTTTACAGATACGACTATGAGATTTTATTAATGAATGCGACATTTTGTCTGGTTCCGCGAGGACGACGATTAGGCAGTTTTCGATTTCTAGAAGCCTTGCGAGCAGGATGTATTCCAGTTATTTTAAGTAATGGCTGGGCTCTTCCCTTTCACGAGCGTATCGATTGGACTCAAGCTGCCATATTTTCCGATGAGAGATTATTACTTCAAGTATATTGAAATTTAAAAATGTGTTCGAGCATACCTCGAAATACAATTTTATTTTGTATTGAGAAAAAAAGTATAGTAAAATTCTCTATGAACTTTACAGATTCCAGATATAGTACGTTCCGTTTCCAATGTACAAATTCTTAAATTGCGACAGCAAACGCAATTCTTATGGGAGAGATATTTTTCATCTATCGAGAAAATTGTATTCACCGCATTTGAGGTAATTATCCTTTTTTGCTACAATTTATTAAAATCTCGTTTTCGATCTTTCTAGTAATTATAATTATTAATTTAGAATATTCGCGAGCGTTTGCCATGGGAAGGAGCACGAGAAAGAATTGTCTGGAATACTAGTCCCGGAGCATTGGTGATTTTGCCACAATTTGCCGATAGTCAACAAGAACTTCCTTTTTCAAATAGTAATCCTGGTAATACTTTCACTGCCATAATCTATTCGCAATTAGGATCTACTGCAGTTCTTTATCGCCTGCTTCGGAGTCTCGCAAAAAGCAAATACCTAGATAAAGTAAGTCTATTCTATGTATTTTTTGTTATATCCTCTTTCGTATTATCGTTTTATTATATATTATAACATTAATATAATATTAATAATATTATAATTTTATTTAAGATAATACTTATGTGGAATTCGGACATTCCGGTGCCAAGAAAACCACGTTGGCAAGGTATCAAAGCGTCAATTCATATTGTCGCAGTTGATGGTATATCTCAACGTTTTTATCCTCATCCTCTAATCAAAACTAGTGCCATATTGTCGCTCGATGAAGACGCTACTCTAAATACTGACGAGATTGACTTCGCTTTTACGGTTTGGCAATCATTTCCCGATCGAATAGTAGGATATCCAGCGAGATCTCATTATTGGGATGACTCAAAGGTATATATATCATGTAACTCATTATTTTTTATATATTATATAACTCGATATTTTTGTCTAGTTTTTGCATTATTTTTTCTAATTGAGTTTATTTTGATTTTGTTCAAAGCGTTCCTGGGGTTACACCAGTAAATGGACAAACGATTATAGTATTATTCTTACTGGTGCGGCTTTCTATCATCGTTACTACAATACTTTATATACAGAGTTATTGAGCTCGACCCTCCATAAGACTGTGGAACAGTCGCAGAATTGCGAGGATATACTTATGAACTTTTTAGTGAGTCATGTTACACGAAGACCGCCCATCAAAGTGACGCAGCGTAAGCTGTACAAGGACACTACGGTAGCTGGAATCAGGTGGGTGTTGCTTATCATTGCGATTATGTGTATTGTTATCGTTATTTCTAATTTATGTGCGGTTTCGATTTCAGGTCCCCGTGGAACGATCCGGATCATTTCATACAACGGCAAACTTGCATGAATACATTTGTCGCTGTTTTCGGATATATGCCTCTGTTGCGATCTAACATGCGACTGGATCCCGTTCTGTTCAAAGACTCTGTAAGTAATCTACGCAAGAAGTATAGGCAAATTGAATTAGTTAGCAACTAGGATTGTATATGCTGTGCTCGATTTTTTACGCGCAACTATTTAATTTTACAAGCACGCTTGATGTAAAATTGCGATACGATACTAGATCTGTTTTTTTAACTTACTTATCTTTTTTTGCGTATTTAAAACAGAAAAAAGTTTATATTGAGGATTTTAAACAGAGAAAAACGAAAAAAAAGTATAGTTAAAAAAAGCAAATCTATTATTCGCCTTATCTGATTTACCATCTACGTGCGAGTGTAAAATGTATAGGGAACATTTAAGCGTTTACGATCTACGCTATATTAATGTCGGGCAATGAATCAAAGTCCGTTATCCAGCAAGGACACATAGTGATATCTTGCGATTTATTTGTGAGTACTTTTGTACAAAATGTAGAGCAAATTGTAGAATTGTAACAATGCATTTTCTATTTGATGATGTCTCGCATAGCTTTTATCTGCTGTGAGGCAACATTTAATTGATGTACATACAAATCGTTTTATAATTATTAATAAGAAAAAAATTATTTAATATAAGCACTTGGACTTTTCACATACTGATCATTGAGATAATTTAAATCAGTTGATAGAATCATTTAATCGGTTCGATAAAAATAAAAGAAAAGTTAAAATCAAATTTTTCTGATGGGCGTGTTCTTACATTGATTATGTTGCTAATGCTTGAAATATAAGAAGCAAGCAAGCAGATATCGTTTGTATATGATATTTTTTTAATTTTGGAGATTTGTATATGCTTTTTTATCTAAACAAATGTATTTCGTACAATTCTTCTTAGATTTGAAAAATGTCAGAGAAATCGAAAAAGTCTAGAATAGACTTTGTTAAGTGCTTTTAGTAGTGGTGACGTGAAAGTCAATATTTGTATCATGGAAAGAGGTGGAGAGAGAAGCAAGATTCGTTTATATATAAGATAATTGTAAAGATATTAGGATTTAATGAGATTATATATATATATATATATATATATATATATATATATATATATATCAATATATCGATTTTTCTTGATATCAAGTAATTTTGATGTTGTATAATTTATAGTGTCGCGTTACTAATCCTTTTCTTTCTTCTCTCTTTTAGAGAGAGGTTCATATATTTGAACTTAATTATAAGAACATTGTATCCAATAAAGAGATTATGTCAATTTATTCAACTTATGCACAATATTTAGCGCATATTGTCGCATATGTTGTATTATTTATTTTGTGATCGCATTTTATTGATTGCACTGATTTATGAGTGCATTTGAAATTTCGCAATTTAGCAGATCTATTTGAATACTGCCGAGTTCTCAGGAACACGTTTAAAAAAAAGGAAAATTTCTGTCAAGACGTCGCAACAATATCTAGTCGTTTACCGATATACACTGTTACACGATGGGAGAAGTAATATGTAATCCCTCAGAAGAAATATAATATGGCATCTATATTTGTCTTATCCGTTTTTAAGACGGAAGCTATCTGTATGTGATATGTTTTTAATTATTGTGTGCTTTATAATCGAGAAAAAGATTGAAAAAGGTTTATATAATTTTTATAAGAATATAAGAATATAATTGTAAGATTCTTATAAGAATTATAATTATATCATTACAAAAAATTTAATTATTCTTATAATTGTAAGAATTATAATATTTTATTATGATTATGGTTATGTATGTGTATGTGTATATATATATATATATATATATATATACATATTTATGTAATTATAATTATTATATAATTATATATAATTCTTATATTACATATTTTATAATATATTTTTGCAAGTTTTTATGGAGCATATGCGTTGCAATCAAAAGCGATCGCAAAATTAATTAAAGTCTGTGCGTATTATATTTTTATTTAGAATATTATAATCATTATTCATGAATTTTAGCAATTGGTTTATTGATCGATCGTATTTGATTTATATAAATTCATAAATGTTTGTAAATTAGTATCTAGTTGTATATAGAAATCTCGATATAATAATCTATCGTTTAATTCCTCGACGAACAATCCTAATACAAATATATTTTAAATCATGATTGGATTGGTTATTGAAGACGAGCATAATCTCTGTACAAAAAAATAATTCTGTGCAATGATCGCGGATATTTTGATCCTATTTGATATGAGCTAATGATTCTCCAATCTGTTAAACACATTTTCCATATAATTGTACTCCGCAAAAATAACGCAACATATATAATAAGATAGTATTAGTCATTTTATATGGAAAAGAAATAAACTGTTTTGTACAAAATAAGGTGCTGTGTTTAATAGAAGATAAAAATAATTATTATAATCAATTAATTTTTTATACTACATATAAATTCCCCATAACGATAAAAATTATAAAAAAAATAACAGAATAACGAGAGGACAATTATTAATGAAAACTAATAATAAAAAATTATTTTGAAAATTTATACAAATAATGATAAATTAATGAAAAATATCTTAAATGAAAAAATGCTTACAATTAACGATTGCTTTAATTTTAAAGCACAATATATTTATTAGTCTTAGAATGTTAAGTTATACATGTTTATTGTTTCTGTAAAAAAATATTTACAGAAGAGAATATTAGACATGAAAAGGATTTTTTTTCGATTAAAGTGTAAGTAGACAATTGGCGAGTGACTCTGATCGAGTGCAACCCTTTCCTCCGTCTTGGTCGCGGAAAAATCGGATGCGGTTTCAGGGTTAACAACGCGACGGGGAGAGGTGAAAAAAAATTTCAGGAAGGCGGATTTCGTCCACCACCCGACCAGTCCCCACTCCATTCCTGGTGATCGTGAACGTCCGAGGTGGTGGGCGATACACGGTGGTGGTGCGGCACCAAGACTCCCTTCTTTGTTGCCGCGCTCAGTTAGAAAGGTGACTATGCCAAGAAGACAGGAGGTATCGAGCACGCCTCGCCTGTGTTATACTCGCAGTCACCTTTCTCTCCTCGTGACCGTAGCATATGTTCTGCGAATGTCCATGGCGTATTCGCGGCTTTTCTAATAACGGCGCTGCACTGCGGCTTTCGTAGGCGCATCTCGTTCGGCGCGATTCGAAAGAAGAAGAAAAAAAAAGAAATTTAGAGTGCGACAATCGCCCGAGGATCAGTTCGCGTCGTCTGAATTCGGACGCGGACCGAGAGCGAGTTTAAATTTCGCGCCGAAAGAAAGCGCGCCGATTCCGCTCGTTCCGGAGTTCAGTCGGGAAGTGAGAGTCGCCGCGAACAAGGAGTCGAATAACATCGCCGCTGATCGATCGCCCTTCATCCCCCGGGAATCAGGAGTTCCTGATTGTGATCCTGCACCAATCCTTCGTCAACCAGGAGGCAAGATGATAATCGTGAACAGCGTATTGCTGATTTTAGCGGTCGTGTCGAGAGTGGGTGAGTTTTACAGTTTCAGTTGCACTCTTCCCCTCTTCGTCGCGAAGAGGGTGATAAGATGTAAGCCAAAAAATCATGCATCTAGCTTAATTGATATAATTTATATTCGAGTTATACATGTTGTTTCTCTCTCTTCAATATACTTTGCGTCAATTTTCCACAAGTTAAAAACGCAACTTAATAGAGGATCGCGTTCAAAAATTCCATCCATTAAAACATCCATCGAAACAGACTCATAATATCGATATTTTACATTGTACGATTATGGTTACATGTAATCGCAAATCGATAGGGAAAAGAAACGGCGGACTTCCGCAGATTCGTTCGATGTATGGAAGCAGATTTTTAAACAAGTATTGGCAGCGCGGGAAAGGCTGTGTCGCGATGAGGTCGCTGGAATCGCATGCGCATTCGCTCGCGCGCGTATTAGCCGCGAAAATGTCAGTTTACGTAATGCACGGGCCGTTGGATAACTTGGCACACATGCGGAAATCAAGCTAATGCGCCTGCCGATCCCCCGGGGTGCGCCCGAGGGTAGTCGTTGTTCGTTACGTTGAAAAATTTCCTCCTCGCCCTGCCTTCTCGGTCGACGGGAATGTCTTGCATGGGCGATCAATGTTGGACATTGCAGTCGAGAATGCATGGGTAAGTTTTGAAATATATATTATATTTATAAACACGCTCTCTCATGCTCGTATAATTTTTTTTTTCATTGAGACTGGTTCTAATAAGACTCCAATAATACATTGTGCAGTCTCATTACTTCGAAGCAAAATATCTTTTCTCGTGTAAAATCGAAGTATTAAACCCGCGCGAATAATCGAATATTTATTTCAATAGGATTTTGTTATTTAATTACTTTCGATTCGAACGTATCATGCGGGTCATTGTACAGAATGCGCATTTGCAATTATATAATTCCATTACTCGGAGTCTGTGGAGTTTAATATATGAATTTCTGTACATGCGAGATGTTGAGAAACAGCAGGCCTGACTCGAATATAGAATATAGAATTTATTAAATGATAATAAATGCATGTAAATATATATTTTCCAGACAAATACAAAGAAATGTTCCTCTCATAATCTCATAATCTTTTTTTTTAAATCATTTTAATACCTGATCCACGAAGACAATTCAATAAAATAAGAAATATTAATTCAAAAATTAAGAATGTTGATTTTACATGCAGATTTTCTTTTTTTTACATTTCATAAATATTTTGAGAACATTTGTCTGATATTTTCGAAAATGTAAAACTCTTGAAGTATTATGTCAAATATTTTCTGCATTTATTAGTTTCAAATTTCTGTTCAGAATAATTTAAAAACTAATTAACGTTGTCTCATTAAATATCATTGTAACAACAAGCATTAATAACTTGCTGGATACCTGTCAGATGGTAAAAACGAGTGAATTATCTATATGACTATCTAACCGTCGATCTGCGATAGCGAGACTTATATTAGACATCTCGAGTGAAGAATCTAAGCAATTAAATTTATACACAATACATAGTTAAATCGCGAAAGCTATTTCTTCCCAACGTGACACCCGGCAATGATTTAACATTTCCAAATACAGGAATCTCCCGCAGATCGCGTCCTCTCTTCTGTCTAACAAGGAGGAGAAAAACTTTTGCAATCCGACAGCACGGTAGGTCGGTTTCGCATGCGAAACGACCGATTTGCGAAACTTTACCGCGGCGTTGGCCGAGCTCGGATAGAATCGGTCGGAGCGAATGTATTTCGTTAGGAAATTTTGCGAATCCATCACGAATCGTATTCGGCCACCTCCCTTCCCTAGGAAGTTTTGCTTCAACAGCCGCGAATTCAAATTATTTCGACGAAATCGACTCATCTATCGAGTGAAGAAATCGACACAATGCTTATTGCTTCGTGTGAGAGATTTTCAGTTATAAAATTAATGATTGCGAATTATTATTAAAGTATTTATTGATTCAATGGTTGAAGCTTCAATTATTTGGAAAATATATATTTTTCTATAAATACATATTTGTATAAAAAAGCGGTTATTAGTAGAATTATTCAAACAATGTTATTTATACATGTTAATCTTTAATTATCATAATAATCGTTAGAAACAATAATTATTGATTTTTAAAAAATTTTTTCCCAATGGATAGATGAGTTAGTTTGATCGAAATAATTTTTTATTCTTTATGGCAGTAGGATTTCCCCGATAGGATACTTCAGAATACAAATCTCCGTGAATTCGCAAAATTTTTTGGCCAAATATATTTGTTGACGCGCTCGGAAATTCTTCGTGTATTCTATTTATAACCAGAGATCTCCGATAAATTATATCACTCGATTTCGTCTTTATCGTATCAAATAAATTTTTAAAGCGGGCTTTTCGGATGAAGTCTATGAAAATAACTGATAAGAGTAACATAAAGCCGTTCTTTGTCGCGATCTGTAAAGATCTTGATAGATCAAAGGATTCATCGCGAGAGGTGCTCGCGAGTGGGGTTTGAACGCGAAGCCACATCGCGGATTCGAACAAAGGAGAATGTTAACAGTATTGTGTTACATTTCGGTAACACAGTGGATAACGGGCTTGGCGTGGAAATGATCCGCTTGCGAAATCCGCCGGAGGTGCTCGGTTGCACCGTGCGCAGGCAGCATTCAGCGGCGGCAGCAATCAGAAATCTGTTCCCATCGGTTAACAAGGCGGCAGGAGTAGAGCGAGGGAAGGAAAGGGTCCTGTCTTTCGTCTCGCAAGACGCGTATCCGCCGTCGCGATCGCGCCAGGTCGAGGTGAGATAATAGGAAAGGAGAAATTTGCCTGATCGCGCGCGATCCGCATCCTCAGGTGTGCAACGGCACATGACAAAGGATACGTGCGTTTTTCTAAATGGCCTTTTTCTCTTGCAAAGGAGATTTTGATAAATACATATTACATGCACCGATGAAAATGCAAAATGAAAGCGCTCGTGAATTATGACGACATTAATAGCGTTGTCCTTCTCGTTGCTCTTTAGAAAGAAGGTATTTTATTTTATAAAAATATTTATAAATAATATATTATAATATATTATTATAATATGATGGAAATATTTATTATATATATATATATATATATATATTATATATATATATATATTTAAATTAATTTGCGGATCGCGATGGTTGCAGTTACTCTTTTAATAAATCATTGATTAATTGAGATGATAGTTAAATACTGGAATTCGTAAGCAGCACATTTACGTAATTTGTAAATCTATAAATGTCATCAACATTCGTAACGCTGTCTGTAACGATTGTATTGTCGACTGTGTTATAATGATTAATTGAGAACATAAAAATGTTTTACGAGTCAGTGAGTTTGTGATTGAAACACGTCTCGGGAATTTTATTGCTTCTTTCTCTAGTCTCTATTATCTTATACATCTTTATATTCGGTTTTGTTAATACTTGCTTTTCGCGTGATAAATTGATATTTCTCGAAACATTTATTTTTATTTGTCGTTCTGCAAGTTACAGATATGACATAATAAAATTCATTTAACGATGAATGTATTATTCTATATTTTTTATAATCTTTTTAAGATATTGATATTTTAGCGAATATGCTTTATATTCATGCATAGCAAACTTTAATATTTCTCAAATTACTTTGCATGCGCGAAGAAAATATTTATTTCGACCGCGTATATTTTTTATATATTTAATTATTTTCTAAATAGAACATATACAAACACATACACAAAATTATTGTAAAGCAATGTAAAATTCATGTATATATAACGGAAAGAGATTATATATATATATATATATATATATATATATATATATATATATAATAATTGTACGATGTTTTTTTGTCGTCACAATCATTTCACAGTTTAATGTGATGTAATTATATAACATCAAATATATCTATTCGAGTGATATATATAAGAGAAACGGATCTGGTACGACGCGTAGGCGGCCCGTTTCGTGATAATGTCGGTTCGCATCAGTGAAGTAATTTAGCAGTCGGAATGCAGTCTACGCCCTATAATTTACACGTCGCCGGCGTATCTTGGCGTCAAGGGCTTCTCAGAGATTGCATACAACTCGCTCTAAGTGGTCACGTTATCCTTTCTAAAAGTGAAGAATTATAGCGCCACTTCTAGGCAACGCAAATCAAGACATATCTCATCTTCAAGAATCAATATAAATTGTTTTTTTTTTCTGTATAGAGTTACATAGTATTTAAAATTATATTATTCACAATATTTTCTTAAGCTTTTTAAAAATGCATTATCTTTTTTTTTTAATTTCTATCGATATTCGATTTTGGTCTCTGGATTATTAATACTCGCACTTTTTCTTTTGTAGATTATTTCACTTGTTATATTTGACAGCGAAGAGCACTGAAATAAATAAAATCGATATTTACCGCATTGATCAATTCATAACCGCCCACACCCGCCGCGTACACACATTTGTGCGCGCGCGATCGTAAATCATTGTGCTTTTTAAGCTGGTTAAATCACGATCCTTAATACTACCCACACGCAGGATACCCCATATTCCCAGACAGGACGGAACTACGATCGCGCAAAGTAATAAAATCGGTACCTTGAAGCCCATATGGATTTGTTATCCTCATGTCTCTCTCGGTAGGCACTCACGCAAATAGATGCGAAAGAGAAATACATTTGAAAAACGCTCTGTTCTCTTTCTTTCTCTTTCTTTTTCTTTTCTCTCTCCCCCTTTCAGCTATTATCTTTTCTCCAGGATTCCGCGTCGCTTCGCAATTATCAGGGGAATTTACCGGCGGTGTTTATACTCTGCATTACAGGCAGCCCTCGACCATTTTATCCGTCGACACGAAAAAATCATTACATTCTCGGCTATGCTTATGTTGAGGTAAAAATATTCGCGGCTCGGAAAGACAGAGAAAAAGAGAGAAACAGGGGTTGAGAGAAACGCGGTTTATTCTCTGCAAATTCTTTAAGTGCATGCACAGGAAATGATTTACATGTATC